CTTTTGATTTGCATTGATATGCATTATTTAGTTATTTTGATCGAAGCTCAAGTTGGAAGGTTGTTGATAGTGGGCGGAGGTGGAGGGTTGGTGCTCAACACTACGAGTACGAAGTAAAGTATGTAGTTGTTAGAGTTAGAGCTCAGGATACGATACATACTTTGGAGCTTTAATTTAGTTTCGGAGCTGTAGAATCGCACGGACGGAAGATGGTTCCGCTTCTGATTTAATTTATTAATTTATTGATCATCTCCTCAGTCCTCAAGTGTTTGGTTCTTGTGGGGAAGTTCGTGCGATGAGCCCGCCCGAACCGTTGGAACTGCTGGGACTGAACCAGGTGTGCTATGGTTCAGGGGAGTTCAGGAGAGTTGGATACAGTACACAGGATGTACTGTGCCAATGTTCTGTAGCACTAGTAGACACCAGTAAGCCTGACATAGTTACTCCGTACTAACATCCGATGATGTCGATGCCCGACATCCCGTGCCAGCGCATCATGTACAATACGTGCATTGACACGGGCATAGTTTACCGAGTAGCCATTGTTCATTCCCGTACACATAGGAGGAGTTAATATATGCTCCTAAGTATACTCGTACTGGTGGTACCTTAGTTGTATTGTTAGCCTCGCCCAACCGTGGCTCTAGACCGGGGACAATCTGAATGCCAATGGGCTCGGCCGAACAAGAACAGCACAGACTGGATCTCGATGATCTGGTTTCGATCTTGCCTTGATCTTGCCTCAACACTGCCCTCTGCCCTGCCCTGCCTTGCCTGGTCGTGAATCGATCCCCTCACTGAGAGTTCTTCCGATCGTCCGCTGTGCGACCGAACCAGTCGGGTTGCAGGCAATTATTGACACTGTGCTTCATGGGGACCGGATCAACCCTGACCAGAGAGTAGCAAAGCTGAAGCAGTGCTCAAGCGCTCAAGTGCTCAGTGCTCAAGTGTTGGGGAGGCAGGCTCTTCCAGGCTCTTCCAGGGCGAGTAGCGAGTAGTCCACATTCCCCGGCATTCTCCCGCTTCCATTCCAGCCCGACCATTTTGAATGTTGCCAATCTGTCAGTCTGTTCTGCTTTGCTTCACTCTCAGCTCTGCTTCACTCGTGACCAGTGGTGGTGATTGTGTTCAAGTCGGCGCTTGATGGTGCGCTGCAGGCGCGGCGAACAGCGAAGGTTGCAAGGTCGAAGGTTGAACTTCCCCCCAGCCATCTCAATTAAACCAGCCACCCACTTCACTTCACTTCACCTTCCTCCCACTCCGGGGGGGAACCTCCCCAGTTCACTCCTTTCTCTCCTCTCCATCCTCGAAATTTCAAACTCCATTATTTCTGGGTCTTCTCGACCCTACTTGATCCACTGCGACCATTCGCGATCGCACGCGCAATCGGAATAACCCCGGAGTTCGGCTGTAGCTTCAACTTCACAGCTTCCACTTCAGCTTAAACCCGCTCGCATTGTCACTCAATTCCCCCTATTATACCAGACCCTCGCCAGAAGTGTATCGCCACTCTCGCAGACCGTCTTACGAAGTCTACGACCTTAACGAATCCTCCACATTTACGACCCCAGCTCCTCGGCATCATCATCATCATCAACAGCCTCCACACCAACAACCACAACCGCAGCCCCAGCCAGCTCCTCGTCCTGCTTCCACCCATTCGGCTGAATCTCGCCCAACTTCGGCCTCCGGTGGTCCTCGCTATTTACGCCGAGCTCGTCGCACCCCCGAGCCCCGTCAATTGCCTCATCGCCGAGCCGTCTCGCTTGACACTTCAACAAGACAGTCCAGACAGCAACAGCAACAACCGGCCCAACCTCAGCCGGCGCAATCAATCCCAGTCTCCGCCCAACCAACACCAGAGAGTGGAATCGAAGCATTACGTCCCGCCCTCTCGGAAGCTCACACAGACGAGAACGGATCCACCGTCGACGATCCCTATCAACTTCTCGATAGCTCATATTGGCCCTGGAGAACTACTGCAGTCTCCTCGCGCACCGCCTCGGCAATCCTTTACGCCCTTGAGGACGCTATCCGTCGACCCTTCACCTTCACAAACGATTGGGACGAAGTGAATGCTTCTATGTCAGATATGGTAGGCGTTGCTGGTCCCGCTGGTCCGGCCGGGCCTGTAGGCAACGGCCGCGCTCAAAATGGTGCTTCCCGGGCTCCCCAGCCCCCTGCACCGATATCAACACACCCTCCGAGTGGCGTTCGTACTCCGACCGATATCATGAGACAACGTCGCGATCGCGAGGCACGCCGCAAGGCCGAGCAGGAGGCGCGCGAGAAAGAGCAAGTGGATTTAGAAAGACAGCAATTAGAGCAAGAACAGTCTCAGGCGCAGGCTCAAGCTCAAGCTCAACAGTACGCTGCTGGGGCTGCCGCAGATCCTGCATCACAACGCCGAACACAACCTCCTCGAGCCCCGAGAGGAGCTCAGCCTCCACCCGAAGCAGCTTCTGGACCAAGCTTCCGTCCAGGTGCTGCTGCTGCATCGGGCACTGCTGGTCCGGGATATCAAGTACCTCCTGCTACAGCTGATGTTCCTCCTCAAGCCCGACCGGGCCCTTCCTCAAGCCAACAGCAATTCGCTCCAGCTCCGCAACATACCCGCTCACAAAGCGCAGCAGCGGGGACTAGCGGACAAACAGGGACTGGTGGGCTCTCTAGGCCCGGCCAAACTCCAGCTAGTCAATCCGGGGCCCCACAAAGCCTCCAGCAACCCAAGCGCGCCGGTTTCCCTCATGCCTTTGAACGATGGGAAACGCTGTCTTCGCACTGGGAAGGTCTCACTAGCTACTGGATTCGAAAACTCGAGCAGCACAATGACGACCTAGAAAAGGATCCTCTCAGCCAGCAACTCGCCCGGCAGATCACCGACCTGTCCGCTGCAGGCGCCAACCTCTTCCATGCTGTAGTCGAACTCCAGCGCCTACGTGCATCCTCGGAGCGCAAATTCCAACGATGGTTCTTCGACACTCGCTCTGAACAAGAACGTGCCAAGGAGCAAGTGGCCGACCTGGAACGCCAGCTCAAAACCGAGCGACAAGGCCAGGCCGATGCATTCGCAGCCGCGCAAACCGCAGAGCAAGATAAATCTCGATCCGAAGAGCTCCTCCGAGAAATGCGCCGCGAGCTCCAAATCTCCCGAGAAGAAGCCCGTCGCGCCTGGGAGGAACTCGGTCGACGCGAGCAAGAAGAACGAGACCGAACCAACTCCCTCCGCAATGGCGAGCCAACTCTAGTCGGCGGCGTCCAGGTCGTCCCCATGGTGCAAGGTCTTCCAAGCCGCCACACGACGAGACCTACCACCCGCGATGACCCATACGCCACCGGTCCACCAGCTAGCGAGTACCAAAACAAACCCACCGACCCCAGCGCAAGTCACCAGTACTACGATGAGGTTCCAGAACCAATGTCACCAACAGGTTCAGACCCCTTCATCGAACCAGTCAAGACCGACCCACCCTCCAACAAACCTCTCTACGCAGAGCAAGCCTACAAGCACGATCCCACCAGCGCAGCATACCACGGTGCCGGCGCCGCTCCAAGCTCCGAACCAGACGACCGCTCCTACGTCGGAAGCAGCGAAGCCGGAGACGAAGACTACGCGCATTACCCACAGCCACACGGGGCCATGGCATTCCCGCCTCCAGCCCCGCTGTCCGAGGGCAGCGACGACTACGACGATGGCGGCCACTATACCACCGACGCCCCGTACTCGAGCGCGCCTGCCGAGGCACCCATGCAGGCGCCCTACCCGCCTACCACGGCCGATTATAGCGGTGCTGGCTGGGGCGTCGGTACCGGTTGGGAATCTGTTACGCCCCGACACCGTCACCCAACTCGTTTGAGTGATGTGCTTGAAGAGGATGAGCCTAGTCGGACTAGTCCTAGCCGTGCCAGCCAGGCCAGTCGTGCGAGTCGTAGCCAGGCGGGTCGGAGTCAGGCTGGGCGGAGTGTGCAGTGATTTGGATGCCGATGGTTTGACCATAGATTGACCATGACTTGAGTTAATTACTGTGCTGTGCTGGGTGGATATAAGACGCTGGATCTGGAAGCAATTTGCAATTTGCATGCTGGGCTTGTTGGTTATTGTGTTCACGGTGTTATTTACTCCTTCGCGTTCGTTGTTTTGGGGTTTTATACCGGTTCCTTCCTTCTCATTCTTGGTACCATTGAATTTGAAATCCGCATCGAGGAGCTGGGCTGGGCTGCACTGCGCTGCGCTGCGTACATAGAAAAATGGGGGATGTTGTGTTGTTGCTGCTTTTCGCATCTGGCATGAGCGTCTCATCTCATCTCATCTCTGATCGTTATTTTTTTTTGACCTTGTTTATCCCCACTCTGTTTATTTTTCATACTTTTCTCTTTCTTCTTCTATTTGGCGCTTGCTCTATTTCCCCCTTTCTTTTTTCGTTGCGCTTTGCTTGTTATTTAGTTTGCAGTGATGATAATACATAATTGCTGGCTTCTTCAAAACACGTACTGAAATCAGATGCCCAAGTATTCAAGTTGCCTATAATTATACACCTACGTGACAGTAGTCACTTTGCGAAGCATTTAGTAGATTTGTTGGACAGGTTTGGGTCAAAAAGAAGAAAAAAGAGAGTGAGCGAGAGAGAAACAGAGAGGTGGGTGGGGCACCAAGATATCCGAAGACCAAAAAATAATTGCAAAAAAGAAATCTCCCAATAGGGGAATCGAACCCCTGGCTGCCGTGAGACTTTTGAATGAAAGACGGCGATGCTGAAAGAATTGTTAGAACAGATTCGAATTGGTCACTTGATTCAAGGTAACTTACTTAACCACTACACCAATTGGGATGTTGATGGAGTAATACGGCCATAATACATAATATATCCTCAATATCTTTTGACCAGATACCTACCCCGCATAATTTAGACCCCATGTCAACTCACTCGATGTCAGATTAATTAATATTAAATAAACATGATCGAACCTCTTGTCAATTTTAAAATACACAGTTCTGACCTATGGGTACAGCTGCTGGTGCAATCATGTCCTCTTTCCTGCGAGTATCTGCAATCACCTTGACTCTATCGACGGCAACATACCTTCTATATATATTGAGCACTCGACAACCAGACTTACCCAAAACCAAAAAATACATTCAAAAAACCGTCGCAAAAGTCGAAACTCAAGACTGGACCAATCTAAAATCAGACTTCACCCTGCCCATCCGACTATTCCTCACAGAGTCCCTCCTGGAAAAAGGCTGGAACATCGTCTACAAATCCTTCGGAACCATCGAGCGCGTTGGAGACCCCATCATCACACCAGGATGGCTCCTAACAGCCGTCAAAATCCCACTGAAACTCCAACATGCCGAATTCGCTCTCCAATTGCAAATGACGTCTGGCGGTAGTCTTGTTGGGTTTCACTTTACTGGTCTGGGAAATGGGTGGAAGGTACCAAGCTACGCCTCAGACTCCGAGTCGGATACGGACCCGGCCATCGTTGAATCAGAAATGATCCTCGGACAAGGGCGATTCAAAGTCGGAGCAACACTCTGCCTACCGCAAAACCCAAGCTCAACGCCCGGTCCCAAGCCCAAGCGACCATCCAAATTCCCATGCGCAATATTCCTCGCCGGTTCAGGCCCATGCGATCGCGACTCAACAATCGGCGAAACAAAACCTCTCAAAGACCTCGCACTCGGCCTATCAAGACACGGTATCGCATCAATAAGATTCGACAAAGTAACCCACGCACACGGGAAAGCATTTCGCACCAAAAAATACATCACCTTAACAGATGAATATATACCACACGCCCTTGACGCGATAAAACAAGCCCAGAACCACACCAATATCGAACCAAGTCAGATCTTCGTCCTGGGGCATAGCCTAGGCGCGGTAGTTGCTCCCACGCTAGTATCCATGGACCTGAATCCCCCGATCGCGGGCTGTGTCATCATGGCAGGACCGGCGGAACCAATTTATAAGAGTTATATTCGTCAACTTCGGTATATCGAGTCGTTGGATGGACCTGAATCAGTGTATGCGGGTAACCAGATCGAAGACGCGTGTGCTAAGGCGGCAATGGCTGATAGTGAGTCTCTTTCATTATCAACGGCTGCGAATAAATTACCCTTTGGAATTGGGCCGGCTTATTGGCTTGATTATCGCCGGTTTGATCCATTGGCAACCTTGGCTGGGTTGAATTGTCCGGCTTTGATTATGCAGGGTGGTAGGGATTATCAGGTTGTTCGAGATGATTATGAGCAGTGGTGTGCTGCTTTGGATGGGAGGGGGAATGCTGGGTTTCGATTTTATGAAGGTCCTAATCATCATTTTGTTTTTGGGACGGGGGGGTTCGACGCCGTTGGAGTATAGTGTGCAGGGGAATGTTGATGAGAGGGTTGTGGTTGATATTGCGGGATGGATTTTGGATATGTGTTAGGTGGTCATATTTGGTTAACTACGGTGACGGTATTAGTAGCTGGTTATACTGGACGTTGAGGTGTTGGTATTTATTTGCAAGTAAATATTGATTAGCGAGTTCGTTTCATTCCCGCCCGATGATGCTAATCGGGATTTACAGGTTCCAAAATCTATCCGTCGGTGTTTTGCCAATTTGGAAAAAAAAATCCTAACAAATCCCCAAAAAATCGTACTCTGCTCGAGATATCAACTAATTCCGACCGGGTCTAAGAGAAATGACTAGAAAAAACAATAAAACACAGATACCGGGAATCGACCCCAAAAAAATCCAAACAAACCTCCAAAAAATCGTATATCTCGGTCATTCCGACCGGCTAAGAGCAACAAAACAAAAAGACTCGGATACCGGGAATCGAACCCGGGCCAGCTCGGTGAAAGCGAGCGATCCTAACCTCTAGACCATATCCGATTGGTTGAAATAGTTTGAGATTTGATGCTAGAAGATCTAAAAAACGGAAAAGTTCCCATGTCAAAAGGTAGCTGGATCTATAGAGGGCTCGCCCAACCGGGATGACTTTTTATCTGGGCTCTAGCATCTCTATATTTACAGATTCGACTCAAAAGGTCAATGATTACTACATTACATAATAAATTTGGGCGTCCGAGCGGTGAAATGGGGGCTAGGGTAATGCAGTTTTTTGGGCCGACCGCGTCTGTCACTCTGGGCTATAATCCCGCCGCGCAGGGCAGAGGGGGCAAGGAGAGTGATTGGAGAAGGATTACCCGTTCAATCCGAGAGTATCGGCCGCATTAATCCAAACTCTCGCTGGTTTATACTACTGGTAGATTTCTGACTGCGACTCCTATATGGATCCGCGTCTAACCGAGAGTTACCTAACTGTTTCACTCAGGACACGCTTGTTGAGAACTTCAATTAATTACATTTTCTTCAATTTCCGACTTCATTGGTAGGCGTTGACCAGCATGCGTACATCGATTGGTCATCAGAATGCCGTCAAAATAATACGGCGTGAGGAGGATTTCGTCTACGGAATATTTGTGGGATGCGGGCCTCTTCCTAGGGGGTAGATACTCATGTACAAGCCTGTCCAAATAAGAACTAGCAAATTCTACTACGAGTAGCATCGACCTTGATCATGACAAAAAGGCCGAGGAAATTTCTCCACAGTAGCACTCACAGGAAGGCGCAGAAGGTACGGAGTAGAAGAAGGAATTATTAAGCTAGCCGGTCGGGGAAAAAGGCTATTACGAATCCGTGATGCATTTTCTGTCCTCCGCATAAGGCACTTACCCCAATCCACGTTTATTTATTTTTTTCCTACGGTCGCGCGCCAAGTGTACGTAAAGACGGAGCTAAGGCCAAAGCCAAAGTCAAAACTCCAGCCGATTGGACAGACCAGCAGAGCCGCACTAGTATCGCCACGCGATCGGTTCGAACAACTGCCTAGCGGCAGCTATCTTAAGATCTTGAATAATAACCGTTGGTCAATTTTCAATCAAAGATAACCTTAGTGCAGGTACGGACCAGTTTAGGGTGGAAGCTGACCCTATAGACGGGGTTCGGCACGCGGCAGTCAGACTATCGGGCCGAAATGGTGCGATGGGGAGTGGTTCAACCAATCCAGGCCGAGTAAGTGGGGCCGAATGGATTATGGTTAAGTAAAAGAAAGTGAATGTGTCTGACTGTTTTAGGAAGGCGCCGAGAATTTTCGAACGGTTCCGTTTCGAGGTTGACTTGCCCTGACTGATCAAAAACTCAATTTGGCTTTCCCCTTCTCGTTTTCGCCTGTTGGGAGTTTTTCCTTTTTGCCTCCACGCGTCACTTCTTATTAAGGTGTTTCTGTCTCCTCGCGCCTTCTCCCCTCATCCTCTCCGCCACTCCTCCCCCTCCTAGAGGTCATAACATACTCGTCCCCTTCGGGTTTTTCTCACACGCCCACCTCGATCCGATGACACTGAAGGCCAAGGAAGGTGATGAGATCTTCTCATCACAGGATGGATATGCCAACGATGGGTTCGGCGATATGAGTGATCGTGAGAAGCAGATCTACCAGGGTGGCGTGCAGAAGTTCAACCAGCTGGGCTGGAAGCAGCTGACAATCGTCCTGATCGTCGAGGCTGTCGCCCTGGGAACTCTCTCGATCCCCTCCACATTCGCGACTTTGGGCATGGTGGCCGGTGTGATCTGCTGTATTGGTATCGGTCTTATTGCCGTCTATACTAGTTACATCATCGGCCAGGTCAAGGTCAAATTCCCGCATATTTCGAATTACCCCGATGCTGGACGACTGATGTTTGGCCGAATTGGCTATGAAGTTATCTACCTGATGCTGTGTTTGGAGCTACTCTTGTCTGCGGGTTCGCACTGTCTGACTGGAACTATCGCCTTCGTCAACATTACCAACAGTGGAATCTGTACTCTGGTGTTTGGCGTCGTTTCAATGATTATCTTGCTTATTTTCGCCATCCCGCCCAGTTTCTCAGAGATGGCTATTCTTGGATATATCGACTTTGTTTCGATTATTATCGCTGTCGGAATCACCATTATTGGAACCGGTATCTCATCCAACAACTCCGTCGGTCTTACCCACGTCGACTGGTCCGCCTGGCCTAAGGAAGGCCTGACCTTCTCCGAGGCATTCATTGCTCTCTCCAACATCATTTTCGCATACAGCTTTGCCCTCTGCCAATTCTCCTTCATGGACGAGATGCACCCCCACCGATTTCCCCAAGTCAATCTGGTCTCTCGGTCTCATGGAGATCTTCATCTACACCGTCACCGGAGCTCTAGTCTACGCCTTCGTCGGCCAGGATGTTCAGAGCCCTGCCCTCCTCTCCGCTGGCCCTCTGCTCAGCCGCATCGCATTCGGTGTCGCCTTGCCAGTTATTTTCATTAGTGGATCTATTAACACCGTCGTTCTGGGCCGTCTGATCCACGGCCGTATCTTCAAGAACTCCAACATCCGCTTCATCAATACCAAGATGGGATGGATCACATGGCTCGTCGTGGTGGCTGTTCTGACCGTTCTGGAATTTGTCGTCGCGGAGGTGATCCCCTTCTTCGACGATCTTCTGTCGGTGATTTCGTCACTCTTCGTCTCCGGCTTCACTTTCTACTTCCCCGCCATCATGTGGTTTATGTTCATTCGCCAGGGCAGCTGGACTGACCCGAAAAACATCGCATTTGCACTGTTCAATGCTCTCATTTTTGCTGTTGGCTTGATCGTTTTGGTTGGTGGTACTTACTCTAGTGTTGTTGATATCGTGAGTTTCCCTGAAGTTCCCTTTCTACCCACTTTTGTGCTGCAAACAAATACTTACTATGTCTTGAACAGATCAACTCTTACGCTGATGGTACCGTTGGCGGTGTTTTCTCTTGCAAGTCTACCTAGAATTAGAATACCCATGCAGCGCATGGAAAATGTACAGATATGATAGATCTCTTTTTGAATATATTACATGAGATGCACATAATTCGAGTCACTAGTATCGCCACTGGGAAGCAAAGTAGTACCGAGTAATTCATTCGGAGAGATTAAATAACATTGCATTCGATGGCAAAATAGTAGTATACAAGCTCCGAGTCCTATTTATCAAATCCCACTATCTACTGCCAGCAGCAGAACTGATCTTCTCCACCTCAACCTCACTTCCACCCGGTCGGTGAAAAGCCCGACTAGCAGTTTTCAATTCCCGCTCCAAAGCATCCGTCAACGCATTCAGTAACCACTGAACCTCACTCTTCTCCCCAACCAAAGGATTCCTCTTATCAATCCAGCTCCAGCCCCGAAACTTCTGCACCTGATCTTCATCCCTCTGCTTCTCGCTCGCCGTATCCGGAACAGGAGCAGCGGGTTTATGCTTCTCCCCAGAAATTAGAGAAAGATAATACTCCCATTCCAAATAATCGAATTCCTTATTCGCATTGCTGCGCGCATAGTCCAGCATTGTGCGAATTTCTCGGAAAAGTAGATAGTGATAGTGGTGTAGGTTCTCGGCGGCTACATCGCCGCGCGCACGGGCAGATTCTTCCCTTTTATGCTCTTCTGCTTCGAGGCCTGCGCGTTCGGCGCATGGTGGTGGAGTTGGCATGTTGGTGTTGGTAGTTTCCCGTTCTCCATTCGGTGTTCCTGATCTGCTGAAAATCTCTTGGGCATTGTCATGCTCGCCGGTGATTTCTTGTAACCATCTCTCTCGTCGCTCTCGCCATGAGACGTGTACTACGTCCCGGATGCGGTCGACGAAAGGCGCGTCGCCTGGTAAGATTGTTATTTCGCCGAAGAAGATGGTTAGATCGCGGATGGAGCCGATGAGTGTGTCGCCGATGTTGGAAATCAGGATAGTTATTGTTGGGACGGCGAGGAGAGACCAGAAGACGAAGAATGCTTTGCCTAGACTGCTTATTGGGTAGAAATCGCCATACCCGATGGTTAATAGGGTTGTGTAGGCGAAGTAGAGCGCTTCGAAGTACGTCCAATTCCTTTCGTCTTCGGAGCGCCAGAAAACAACGGCGCCGATTAACCAAAGCGCCATCCACACCACCAGCGAAATGAGGAGGGAAACCCACTTATACTGGACGGTGGATACCTGGCGTATACGACGCATGGTGATGAACTCTAGTTTCTGTCGCTCGCGCTCGCTGATGTCGGTGTTTTCGTCATTCGCGGCTGATAGATTTGGAATGAAACCCCGAAAACGATGGCGATCGGAAGCAGCTTGCTTGACGAATAGTCGGCGTGTATGCTCCGTGAGAATCTCAGCGATCTTTTGTCGACCACGCTCGAGCATGAGAGTCCGGATAGACGAGACGATCAGACCAAGGATAAGAATACCGCCAATTGCGTATGGGAAGAGGAGACCACGGCCAACATGCGTTGCGGGGGAATAATTCCCAACACCAATGGTGAGCAGGGTATAGTCGGCAAAATAGACGGCATCTAAAAATCGCCATCCTTCTACCGTAGCGTAGACCTCAGCACCTAGAAGCAGATATATGCAGAATATAATCGTTTGCAGCATGAGTGTCCGCTGACTGGTTGTCAATTTGAATTCTCGATCATAGTGGCCCGTATAAGCCCCATATGCCGTAACAGTGAGCAGGGACGAGATGATAAAATATAAACCGGCGGCGAAGGCTCCGTAGAAATAGCTCTGTGCGTAGATGAGTCCGTCGTTCTCGGGCCTGTACATCAATACCCCGACGGGAATGAGGATCCCGATGAGGAGTGCTGATGAAATGAACCAACCGATAATCATGATCGGCTGAGCAACCTCGAAGCGAATCCGGCGCGCCATATTTAGGGATAGGAACAGGTTGGCTATGAGGGCAAAGAACAAGGAGATTGCATTGATCGCGGACACCCTGAGATGGGTTAGTCTTCGACACAGAACGAATAGGGAACTGTGAGCCATACCATTTCGGATCGGGAATCTCTTTACCCCCAAGTTCCATTCGCCATGGCTGTGACAGAGAGCATACACTGAAAGCGCTAGCCATGGGCCCAAATGTACCCTGTAGAGTGTTAATAAGGCCAAGAAGCAAATCTAGAGAGACTGCCATCTGCTTACTGCTGCCAACGGGTATGCAGTACTGGCCAACCACCACCGCGCTGCATGAGGGCCATCTGCATCTGCACCACCCTGTTTCTCGTCGGAAGAAATACTCTTAGCTCCCTGCCCAGTTGAAGATTGGTCTAGAACATTGGCCTCATTGGCGATGGCATCGTCGAGGCCGGGGTCATTCATTGTTCCTGGCGAAAAGGTGGGACTGGGGAGCTTGGCAGGGGGGCATGGAAGGAGCCTCTCAAGAAGGAGACATTGTATTAGTAGAAAAGAAATCCTCAAAATGAGTGGGGAAATGCAAGGCTGCCCAGCTGCTAAGTGGAATTAGTGCGGCTTGTCAAAAATCAAGCTTTGAACAAGAAAGGCAAGCCCGTCCGTCATTTTTGGGGATGCGCGACGTCATGTCACGTGTGGGTTGGTTATAGACTTTGGAACCCGTGCCAAACCTTGGATGAATGGATAGAAAACAAGAAACCTTGCAATAAGAGTAGATCCTAATCAAATACGCTTGGAGTAGAGTGGGAATCAAGTGATTGGATATGTATATGTATTCAAGCTCAAGTGCCTAGCAAATAGGCCACCCAAGGTGAAGATCGGTCAAGATGAGAACAAAGAAGAGTGAACGAACAGCTAGGCTTGTAGTGCTTTTGTTCTAGAAGAGAAAAAGGAAAGGGGTCACGGAATAAAATCCCTGTACATCGCATCATCCAACTGCTATACACTTCAGATGGGGCAGCAGAAAGAACCAGCCCCTGCGTTCTTGACACCCGAGCTCATACGGCGGATGCGCAAGACCAAGCAAAAAGCGCAATGCTCGACAAGACCAAAAAAAAAGTGAAGAAAAGAAGAAAATCCCCCAATGAGAAAAAGACACCAAAACTCCACTCCACATAATGACCCGCATTGCCATGGTGTTGGGAGAGAAAAATTCACATGTCGTCCAAAGGAGATTGAGGTAAGAAATTAGGGTATCGCAAGGAAAGGGTCGGTGAAATCATGTCACAATATGCATGGAATCACACAAGAAGTCATCAAACTAGAGACGAGTCAGCACGGATCATGCTTTGGATTTAGGTTGCAGGAGACTTACAGTGGGCAGCACCTCCACCTCCGGGGGTTAAAGCTGACGGGAGGTTCGGCTGAGGAGTAGGTCGAGGCGAAGGGCGACGTGCAAACTGGGGGGTCGACGTCTTCATAGTAGGCGGTGCCCTGGTTACCGTTTGCATGGACAGGAGATGGGGTAGGGCGCGGTGAAAGTCCTCGCAAATCGGGAGCACCCCAGCCCGCACGAGCGGGAATGTAGGATTCAGTTCGACTGTATTGACTCGTAGGGCTTTCGAGCGGCGCTTGATGGCCGTCAACAGACAGGGCATGTGGGTTTTCGTTGCCGATATAAGCATCCTGAGTATCATACCGCCGGGCCTGAGGTTGCATCTCAATCGCTTGACCAACGGTTTCAGGCGACACCGCCATTCCAATGGGCCCTGGAGATGGCTGGCGCATCTGTCCAACGGGCGCCTGCCCTTGGGAGTCGTACATGTCATCGCCGGGGGGCATTGGCCGACCATAAGAGTCAAAGCTGCGGTTGGGGCCTGTCATATAGCCAACTCCACCACCACGGGGGCCCCCACGAGCAGGCATCATACCACCACGGCCACGTGGAGGCATAGGGCCCATATAGCCGCCTCGAGCGGCGCCCGGGGGACCACGAGGAGGCCCAGTATAGGGTCCTCCCCGGCCATAACCACCTCGAGGGGGATATCCTCTTCCGCGAGGCCCGCTTCCAGGCGGACCAACGCCACGGCGAGAGCCCATGCTACCATCGGAGTACTGATTATGCAATCGAGGGTCGGATGGGTTACGCATGGGACCAGCACCATAGGGACCTTGGGGAGGTATGCCTGCCTCATCCTGGGCATGATACGGAGTTCCATGGCGGCTCGGGTATTGGTTGTCTGGCAGATTGGGCACATCGGCCATTCCGTTGACTGGAGTTCGGGAATTCAATGGTGTCCGATCATCGTCGCTGTCGCGAGTGTTTGTACGAAATGTCCCGAAAGTAGGACCAGACTCAGAAGTGGGCGAACCGGAGATTATGGCTTCCTTATTCTCAGTCGCTTCCGGGAGGGGAGGAGGATTAGCCGCCAGTGCGGCGGCCGCAGCATTCTGTCGGTTGTAATAATTCTCACCACTCATTTCAGCGTTCTCGGCAATCCGGTTCTTCCGTGCCTTGCGACTCACGAGAGTCCGGCGCATGGCGCATGTCACCACTCCGCAAGCAACAAGGATGATGGTCGCTGCCAGCACGATCCAGCCACCCCATTGTAAATGCGGCACGAAGAGCAAAATGTCGACAAGGAATGCCAGAAGAGATACGAGCAAGGTCGGCAAGAGAAGGATGAGTAGGGCGAGCAGGAATCGTGGCGAATGGGACGGGCCGTGGAAGTGAGCTGCGGCGGCCAGGCCGAGACAAATGAGAGTCAGGAAAGCAGCGACGGGGTGAACGATGAGGATCGCGGAGAGGGATTTGCGAGTGCTCGAGGGTAGATTGAAATCATCGCCGGTGCTATTGATATCATCTGGAGGGGCGTTTAGCATTAGCGAAAGTACGAGGCAGAAGCGGAGGCAGCAAGCAAAACGGGCGCGACTCACTGCTCGTGTATCCGACATGGATATTGGTGCATTTATCGCTCTGACAGTAGCCGAAGACACCGTAATCAACATCGGTGAAAGTCGCTAGAGGAATTCCCTTAATGATGGGGGTGGATAGACAGGATAGCAGGAGTAACGCAAATGCGATCAAAAGTAGGATCGTGAGGGGCGTCGCGGGTTTGAGCAACATGATCGAGGCGGGGGGAGGCGACCGATCCCTCTAGGACCTGGTCTTCACACTCCAACAGATCTAGTCGGGTCCAGTGCAAACGCAACGAGTCCGAAGAAAGGGAGGCGAGGGGAGGAGTGTTGTGAATTAAGCCAGCATTGACATGTACATTGCAGGTCTCCGGGCGCGAAGGGGGGAGGGGAATACTGAGAGGGAGAGGAGGAGAAGAATGAGAACGAGAGATAAGGAGTAAATCCCGTTGAGAATAATAGCAAAGTTGCCAGTCAAAGAGTGTGGGGGGAGGGAAGAAAGAGAAAAGAGTGAAAGAAGAGACAAGCTACTTCCAAAAGGTTAAGACTTGGTTAGTTGGAGGAAGTCGAGACGAGTTCACAAAGTTGGAAGGGGAAGGGTCAGATGACCACTCCTCTCACCTTCACCTTCACCTTCACCTTCTACTTCACCTTCTATTCTACTCTACTCATCATGCCAATTTCATTCTTTTATTCTTTCATTCTCTTCTTCCTTGGCCTTGCATTCCGGTTTCCTACATCCCTGCTCCCAAGGCCGACGGGCTCAGATCCCCTCTCGCAGGGTGCAGGTATAGCGCTTGCCAGGACCGCGTCTCTCATTCGCTGCATCTCCGACCTCGCCTCGGAACGATTCCATGGACCAGCCGCGCCAAGCCTCATTATGGGGTTAGAAATCGTGGAAAGTGACAGTCAGATGGCGTGTTCTATTCGAAGGATTAAGATCAAGTATCTTACGACCAAGTCGCGACCACTCCCCCACATTTGAAACTTATCGACATACTAGTCGAACTGTATAACACAGTGGCCATCCCCCTCTTCAAAAAGGAAACCAACTTCAACCTGATGAACTTCGGTCGAGAACCGAGATTTCATCGGTTCCAGCCCCCAATGTTCCGCGGACACCCCCCTCGCCACGAACCAAATTCACAATCAAAGCTTAATGCCCTCATTTGGACTTGGACTTGGACTTGGGATTTTGGAGGCCTTTCTCTAACGTTCTAGGCCAGGTACCTGACCCGAGATAACCCCGAGGCCTCAGGCCTCATCTTTGATCGTGAAACACTGATCAGCATTCGTGGAATATACACGGAGTACGATCTACGGAACCTCGCTTGGAAGGATTGCGATGATGTATTCAAATGCAGGATTTCGAATCGCCCTTTCCGACAGAGCTCATCTATCGTACTCCGTAGCCCACTCTAAACGCACAGTGCATCGAATTGACTGGGGCAGGACCGGCGCCCCAGCGCCGTCTGGACCGGGCCTCCATACCGTTGCGGCCCACAGCCCGCCTTTTAAATGAAACAAGCGGACCTCCGGCGGGACAAATTAGCCCCATTCCGAATCAGTAACGCCCTGGCTTCTGGGAGAGATAAGATGGACCACAGTTGGGCAAATGGGAACGTATTGCGCGAGTAGTACTAGCATGTACTGGGCCGCCAGTCGGCTATTTCTCCTCGTCCCTATCTCCAGATGCGGGGGTTCAAATGCTATAGCTTAAATGCCCAAGCCTAAATAAGCTTACGCCTATCGCTATGCAATGCGATGCACCTACCCCATACTCGTACTCGTACTGGGTGATCAGATCAGATCCCACCTTGAATTCTGATCGTTTGATCGGTCGCATAGTACGGAGTAGTGCTTTGCCAGTTATACAGATGGTATGGGTTACACGGACAACGGCATCGGTGCAAGGAAGCATTTCATGAAAGTCATTCAGCGGGGCTTGAAAGGCTGGGATTGAAGAATACCGTTCTTAAGATAAATCAGGTCGAATAGTTTTGTTTGGAGACTATAGGGGTGCTTCAAGCCAAACCCATTGATCAATACGGCGCGACAAAGCACCCACTCCGGTGCATGCTAATCAAATCGGAACCCTCTGGTATATATCCATAAACCTTGGAATCGACCTAAACCTTGTGCTACACATAAAATCTGCGTAACTGAATTTGTTTGATGTCAAAAGAGTCCTCATAAGTGTAGGTTTCTGCCCAGACGCCCTGCCTTCAATATTAAAGACCATACATACATAAATCAAAACTCATTCGAAATGAATGTCCTTGGAAAATAACCCATCTCCTTCTAATCAATTTTCCATCGCTTGTGGCAATATTTGTTCCATCTCTTTTAGAAAGCATGTCCTGTCTCCGGAACCTATGGCCATGGCCATGGACTAGGCGCAAGTCACACACTGACGAAGATTGTTCCTTTCTACCAGATACTTCTAGAACCACGATAACCCAGTCATGGGAGACGACGCTACAAAATGAAAACCAGGGTAAAGACCCCAAAGCAAAATTCCAAGAACGTTATGTTCGATTTGGGATCGGAGGGGCGGGAATATACGCAAGTCCTGCTTCCATTTCCTTGGGGCTGTTGATGTTGATGTTGATGTTGGTGCTGGTGCTGGTGCTGGTAATGATGCTGACTGTCTGGCTTCATTCAATCAGGGTCTTACCCCGCGATGAACAGACAATTCAATTAATGCGTTGATTGTCGTCATGAGCTGTTGCTATTTTGGGCACGGATGACTAGCCGTGCAGACAGTGCAAGGGTCTTGCCAAGGGAAAATGGACTTGGTTTTACGAGATAATTTAAGTCTTAAGTTGATGCCAGCAAGGGTATCCTAGTGGGGGAGGGCTATGAATGCTTTCATATATCCCGAATTGCGTATTAGTAATTTAGTCATGACAGATGAAGTGTGCACTGATAGAGTAGCTGGTTGTCTCTACTATATGCTACTAGTAGGACCGCTTCAATTGACTGCCCTGGAGCCGAAAAAAAAAAGAAGTAACAACCGTATTTATGATGCTTTAATTATTTCATTTCCTCTTATCTAAATTCACAGGCCCACTTTGACCGGATTCTATCCTAATTCATCTAGAATGCGATCTAAACTTCTATACAATTGACCCATTACCCCTACCTCTGGAAGTAAATGACCATACACCGATTGATCTGATCCTGTATCCACCGATATTGCGCCGGAGGCAGTCCCAGATCTGAATCACAAAGATTCCTCAAAAACGGAAAGAGATGCCACGGGCCCATAAGAGGCGCAGACATGGAATGCGTTTGGGTAACAGGCCTCGTCTCTGACCACGGGTACGTAACCAAACCAGGCTTCATCCGCACCGATTCAAGCTGAGATCCGAGTAAATATGGGACAGAAGCGCAGACATCGTCTGCGAGCTTATGAATAGTTTGCGTGATGGCGATTGCCCTCCTTCCATCGGGATCAAGTGGGCGGGCCATGGAAAGACATCGGAGCATTATTCTCTGCACCAGAATGCGACAGTCGCGGAATGTATTCCATGTCACAGCTATCCACATATCCGCGTAGCAGTCACAGCGATTACGATAAATGCCGGCCTCACGTACTGCTTCTGGGATCATGGTCGCTGCGGTAGGTACCCAGTGTTCTGGAAGCCAGTGTGTCCATGTCACGAGGTTGATATCGATTTCAATGGCTTTGCGGAGTATTGTTTTTATTTTCGTATCGTCTTGGGGTTGGGGTTGATTTAGCATGCGCTCCCAGGTTTGTCGTAGTCGTACTATCTCTGCAGCGATTGATGATAGAACTACTTTGGGTGATGGGCCTCGTGCATGTGGTAAAGGCCAGACTATGGGTGTTGGGATCATAGGGTTGGAGAAAGACCGAGAGTTTTTGATCTGGAGATTAATGAGTCAGTGGTAAATTGGCGATGTCTTTGGCTATAGGAGTACATACTATCTGAGCCTCGATCGAATGGAAAACTTGTTGTGATGGCGTCTGCTCTATGGGGTTTGAATCTTTCTCATTGATCAATGCGATTGCTCCTCGTAAGTGGGCTCTCATAGGGAATTCAGAGTCCTTCGTGGCAACCATTTCCTATGTTACTGTCAGATTTCATCCTTTCTTAGATAGCTGCCGTAGAACTCTATAACATACCTCATATATGGAAAGTAGGATGATTGAAACTAGTGTTGTATTCACATCCGAGCCGCCTCCTGATTGTAATGCCTCTCGGATCTTCGGCAGGGCCCTGACAAAATATCTCTCTGATGCTCGAAGTAATGTTCCTTGACCAGTCCAAGCAGCAAGGGTAAAGAACCCAACTGCAAGAGTGCTGAGATGGAGGTGGGAGCCGCGTTTGGCACTGGAATACATTCCTGGGAGAACTTCCATAAAGCCACTTCGAACTGATGGGTCCTGGGGTAGATATAGAAACGCGTTGAACCAGAGTGGAACGACTGTATCTTCCAGCGGTTGATAGAGATCAGCAGGACCTTAGAGTCGGAGGCCAAGAAGATGATGGATTTGTTGTGTAAGGAGAGAGCGCTTTTGTCCCTGGGTGACTTGATGCGTATCCATCACTGGTGCTCAACGCCTTTGACGATGCGCCACTCGGCGTGTCTCCATCACCGGTACTACATTTGGACCTATCACTTGCCGGTGATAATTTTGCCGTTTTTCTGAATGAAGATGATTGACCTCTATGCACCAAATCAAACGGATCTGGATACCCTGGACATGTGCGGTTTGTTCTTATACATGCTCTGCAGTGAGGTCGTGTTTCATCGCACTTGGAGTGTCAGCCCGATACACATATTTCGATAGGGGCTATTTATTTACAGAGAGCATACCTTGATACGGCGCTGTCGACAGTTCTGACATCCAGTACTTGGCTTCCCCTGGTAAACCATAGCGTAGCGGATGGTGTGAGACGGATGTGGGTTTTTTTGAAGCCAATAAGGCAATCATGGGGATTTATCGAGACGCAACATCTAGTCTAGTTCAACGATACCCGACGACTCTCATGAAATAAAAATGCGGATAAGTATAATAAGTAGAATATTGAGAATAAATCGATATAGAAGAAACGGTCAGGCTGCTTCCATTTGGTTCTGGCCAAGCCGGTGTCACGTGGAGATCGGCCAAGATGCTCCGCCGCCTCCGCACGCGCTGTCAATCCCCTCCCCTCTCATCACTTCAGCATTTCAGCACTTCAGCGCCTGTCCAGCATTCCAGAGTTCGTGCGGTGACAACCCATCCCTCAATTTCAAGATAGAATTGCTGCCTCAAGTGTCAATTCCTCCGCCTTCGCCACAACCAGAATATCCAACGACCAGGTCGGGAATCTGTCTTTACAAATCTCAACAGATCTATATCCCCATACCAAGCAATGCTTTCCTTCCTAGGATGGGGCTCCGGCTCAAAGCCAGACACAAACACACCAGGTCCCAACGACAATGCGTCCTCGAAACAAGCCCAACCACCCCCTCCATCTCCCCCTCCGAACCATCAACACAACTAGCCCAACCACCCAAACCACAAGATAACACCAACCTCAAACTCTTCGCCGGAGGAGTGGCATTCTTCGCGTTCTCAGTATTCATCACCCGAAGAGCCCACATCAAAAAGCGCATCGCCGCCATCCCGCCATACTACACATCCTCAACCTACTACCAGCCCAATTTCAACGGCGCGATGGATTCATTCGAAGCGCTCAGCCTTGCCACGATCAATGTTATGTCCTTTGGAATGATGACTACCGGTGGTATCATGTGTATGCTCAATGTCAATGGGATCGATGATATGCGGCGGATCATGCGGGGTGGATTAGAAGGTGCTGCTCAGGGCAAGTCGGATGAGGAGCTTGAGAAGGAGGTTACAGATTGGGTTGCGAGCGTGTTTGGAGATCGCTTTGAGAAACAGCTTGAAGTTGAGAAGGCGAAGAAGCGTGAGCTGGAGGCAAAGAAGGAGTAAAGAAGGTCGTGCCAGGGGTGCCGCTGTGCTTTGCTTTGCTTTGCGGCGCCTGCGTTTCGGGATACATACTAACATACCATCACACTCTACTCTGCTCTTAATTTTACGATACCTTGTACAATATGCATCTGATTTGATATACTGAGCATAGCCTGTTGGTGTTCACTGCTGAAATATCATGAAGAAAATTCTCTGCTTCTCTTTGCCATTGTGGGTATGTTTGATATCATTCATTTATGGTACAGTTGGTCCTAGCTATCAGTGGTTCATTTGATCGTACCGCTGTCGAGCTGTTGCTTTGGTTTTTTCTAGGAATTCGTCGTAGCGGCCCCGGGTATTGCGAGCTGCTTCTTCGCTTGCATCACCCAGTTTGCTACCCTGAGCTCCCAATCCGACACCTTGCGCGTAAACCTCTGTAGCAATGGGGGCTGTGACACCTGTACCCTGTGCACCTAAGCCAGAACCGGCTGACCAGCCCATTTTGCTGAGTAGTGATGCACCCTTTGACGTTGTTTGCACTGGTGGTTCCTCTTCCTCCTTCGGAGCCGACGGTTTCGGTCGAGCAGCTCCAGCTCCAGTTCCAGCACCAAGCTTGCCCCGGCCAAATGCCTTTCGACGTTCTCGGGCACGGTCACGATATTCAGCTGTCGGTGGCACAATTCCATGTTTGATGAGTTTCCCCATGCCACGACTCTTCGCTTGTTCATTTTGTAGATTCTCTCGGTGCAGTGCACTCAGGCGTTCATGGCGATTGACATTGGCGGTGCTCTTAAATTGGCGCATGCACAAATAGCAGCAGTTGCGATTAAGGTCCGCATAAGACTGCGTCGGCGGGGCGTTCTGATCGAGAGGTTCCGATGGGGTCTCAATGACATTGCCGTCGCTGTCTTTTGGGATGCCGTGAAGCTCGGCGTGTCGATTGCTCCAGAACTGCAAGTGAGAGGGCATGGCAAGCTTCTTTGCATTCGCATTGGTTGATGCATCTGCCTTTCTCTTCTTGGCCTTCTCCGTATCCTTTTGTCCCTTAGACTGGCTTTCATCTTGGCCTGCGACAGGCTTTTCGCTCTTGGATTGGTCATAGCCGACATCATCTTCGGGGGATGACAACATGAGTTCTGTCACGTATCCCTCATCGTCCCAATACATGAGCTTTAGTGACGGGTTGGCGAGCGGGCTGAATGTGAAGTGTTCTGTACTGGGATGGGGGTCCATAACTGGTACGAAAACTCCCGCATGGATGTAGCTAACCAGGACTGGTCGGGATGAGATGGTGAATTTGTCAAAAGAATTCAATCGTTGAATAGCAGCTTGCGCATCCTATAAAAAGTACTGTCAGTGTGGCTGTATAAGTGGGAAGCGCGGGTCTACATACCATGACATTGGCAAACTCAGCAAACCCGTAATGCCAACTTTCATTCGTCTTGCGATCTCGGACCAATAATACACGCCGAATAGAACCTTCGCGGGCCCCAAGATTAGCATCTCCAGTTGTTGAAGCAACCTTGCCAGCTTTCTTTTGCGTGTTATTCGTGTTATCGTTATTTCCCACATTTGGTCGGTATAGTTTGGCGACGCCCTTTGCAAGGAGATCTTCGTTGACAGAACCTTCTAAACCTCTAATGAGGATGAATTGGGATGGTTGGTTTTCAGGTGCGGCGTCATTATCGCCATTGTTCACTACTTTCGGGGCTGGGACCCCGGGAGGACCAACTGGACCCAGTTCTGATGTTCATTAGCATCCAAGATTGCTGGAACGGACACAGGGTAAACTTACCAGGACGAGGTGCATTACACCGAAAGCACTTTGCACGGGTTGCGAAATTGACGACTGCACACTATAAGCTCGAGATTAGCATAGAACCCAACCCCAATGTCTTTCTGCAGAACCCATACCATCCGGCAAGTCCAATCCCCATCGGCTTTTGCCCGGGCTCGATCTTCCCGTTCACGACTGTATGCTATGCGAACCTTGGTACTGCGATCGTTATCTCCAGCAGCCGGGCCATATAGATAGATGCAGGGGTGGTTCCGTTCTAAAAAGTCCCTGGCGTAGTCGATAGTTCGGAAACGAAGGAATCCAAGACCTCGCGATACCTCTGCCAACATGATATCCATAAGTATACTAATCGTCTCGTCATAGTAGAAGTTCAGTCCACTAACTTGTGTGTCTGTCACGAATAACGCGGATTTCTTCCAGGCCGGTGATGTGGTAAGCTTGTTCGAGTTCTGCTGAAACCTGTACCGAGAAAGAAAAGGTGAGCAAAACGACTGACATTGAACGAAAGCATTCAAGCAGGAGGTAACTCACATCATCCTCTGACATATCCTGTGGCAGTCCGTCCATCATAATTTCTTTGCTCTCGCGACCAAAGCCCGACCCGCCTCGCCGAGGGCTGCGGCTGCGGCTATAGCTTCGACTGCGACTATAACCAGGCGAACGATAGCCCTCCCGATCACGATCTCGATATGTCTGCCGTCCTCGATGCTGAGGCGATCGTGAAGTTCGACGACGGTGATCGTCCTGGTCTCTGTTTTGAGGGGGAGCTCTCGCATCCCAATTCTCCGAGTATTCGCGCCTGCGATTGTCATGCCGTTGGTGGGAGCCAGAGTAGCCTTTTCCCGGGAAACAAAAGGGGTGATATCAGCCAAAGTCCAGAAAGAGGTGTAGTAGGAAGTCCTTGAGGTCAAGAGCCCATGGGGTTCTTGCCATGTCCATGCGGGGAGGAGGGTATACCGCCAGGTGAGCGAGATCTTGAGCGGTCATCGTACATGCGACCATCGCGATCATCACGGGGAGGATAGGCCCGCCGTTGCGGACCTGGGTTTTGTCTGCTGTCTTCGTATGGATGCACCATTGCGCATCGACTCGACCTAAAGGCGTCAAGGCTGAACGAGGGAGGCAGAGGCACTTGCGGAGTGGATCCCAAGGATGTTGGAGAGCTTGCGATAACGTGGCAGAATGACTGACCGCTTTGGGGAGCTGCGTTTACATGCTTTACTAGAAATGCGGAGTATAAAGAGTATTATATTGTAGGCAAATAATTTAGGGCAAAATTAACTGGTTATGCATTAAGTCTTAAACAAGCCAAAGAATTACGCATTGGCGAGATACCTCCATCAGGTTGAACGGTAATATAGTAGGCATTTAAGAGACATCCATGGATCTTGAAATAAATAAAACTTTTTGTTAAAGAATAGATCAGGATAATTAAGAAATTTATAGGGGAATCAGGCGGCAGGTCTAATATAACTCGCTGCTTACAAGTACTCATAGCACTAGTAAGGAGTTCAAAGAGGCTGTGGCGGAAATACCTCGGCATGAAGCACGCAGTATATTTCAAGGTTTAAGAATGTAAGAGACTCGGGGTACACCGTGACCGTGACTGACTTTAAAAACTTGAAGGGGACCACCTTTAATTTGAATTAGGATTACATATACTTTCACTTGGGTCAATTCGACATGATCATCTTTATGAAGGGTGTCCCAACTTATAATTATGCTAGCTCAGCAACAGGTCTCAATTGTGCCATGTGCTGGCAGAAATACTCGCGATTTCCACGGAAAAAGCGGCCCAAACGGGCTATCTGTCAACCTGCCAATCAAGTCCGGATGTTTACCTCAACTTGGGTAATATCTTACAATCAGTTTATCGAATTTACTACCAATGCCTCTTCCGCCATACAAAGACCAGCTGTGGGCGACCATCATGATCAGGGAAAAACAATCCATAAATATACTCGGCGGACAAAGGTAACAAGTCACATTAGGCACAAGTTGTAGATTGTCTTATGGCAAATGAATTTGGGAGCATGTATCCTCCCATTCCGGTGGCTTCTATCGAGCTTGCAATGCCTACCCTCAGGGTACAGAAGCATCAGCCCAGCCATCTCCTTCACGCAGGTAGTATTCGATATCATGTTCAGGATTTCGAGTATTCTCATCTAAATGCTGGCCATCCATGAAATTGAGCAAAAGTTGAGTTGTCCATGAAGCCCTTTCGCGAATTCTGAAAGGAAGAACCTCTCCCTTGTGATTCACGGCCAAGAGCAACATCCATCCCTCCTCGCACGACTTACGATCAGCGACAACAACCATAAGTGATTGAAACATATCTGGCTCGGGTGGTATCATATAAGACTCTGTTGGCCAATTGCGGTCTGAGAGACCGTCCAACGTATCTGGTTTGTTCATTAAGGTTGTGATCATATATGATGGCACAGGGCCTGGCGTGCCGCAAGCGAATCCATCGATGAATTCGGGACTTTCGTCTTCATCGGGCACAGGGTTATTAGAACTGTATTTTTCGTTGTCATAAAAGCACTCTTGATCCAAAATATTGTCGAGGTTATCTTCAGCAGTAATTGAGCGGATACGCCTATATCCCGCGTCGGCGGCACTCCGACTAGCCGGATCGTCTTTTCTCCCAAACGATGTCCGAATCCAGAGTATTGGTAATGTTTGACCATCTCTTGCGCGTTCCTCATCTGACATAAACGTGCGAGATGTATGATGCGAAGCGAAAGGGATATTTCTTCGATGGAAGAGAAGTTGAATTCTGGAAGAAGGTGAGACCCAGGCACGAAACGGAAAAAGGAGATCTCGCAAAAAGCGCGGGGGTGATTGGAGCTAAATACTAGCATTATCGTGGATACGGGGACTGTAAACGCCACCTTGAATCTATACGCCAAGGAAGTGCATTAGTATCTAACACCATGTATTATCACATTAGAAATTTCTAGAATAAAATGCCCTTATTCGTTCCAACATTCCTTTTCTTTCTCATTTCAATTCCCGTTGAGTGACATGTCTCAGAAACCCGAGTAAAAAGAGCCCTTCCAAGACCCCGCGTATTTGGCCCCCATCACAATCTTCTGAAAGTCATGTAATTTGTTGATGCTCGATGCCTCGGGCCACCCAAGATTATGTTACAGCTGTGTTTATAGGCTGGTAGGGCCCCCTGTCGCGTAGGTTCGTTTGAATTTTGCCAGTCCCGTTTCAGCAGGATTGGCCTATCCGCGGGGGCCAGATTGTGGCTAGAACGTGTATAGCCCGAGGAGAGGGCCTGCTGACCGGCATATTCTAGTAGATTGAATAAGTCTGGTTTGAGGCATCTACTAGTAATCCGTAAAAAAAGCACGACTGATCGGTAAGACTATGGTACGGCTAGTATAACATTCCAAGATAGAAGATAGGCATGAATACTATTTGAATGTCAAATACTTTAGATTGCTTCCTGGTCCACATAGTAACGTGAACTATTGAGTGTGCCATCAGCAGCATTCTTGGCCTGCAATCCAAACCCTGGTTATGGATCTAGTTGCCTTAATATCTTCAATTGGGTTGTCTTGAATCAAGATCAGATCAGCCCGATAGCCAGGTTTAATGACTCCACGATCATTCAAGCCAAAATACTTTGCTGGGAGAGACGTGGCGGCCCGGAGAGCCTCGGTCGTTGATAGCCCGCAATCGACTAGTAATGCTAGTTCTTCATGCAGACTGATTCCGTGCGAGACATTTGATGGTACGCCGGCGGCCTTGTTGGAATCCGTACCGGCCAGAATAGGAACACCCGCAAGGTGAAGCGCAGCCACAGTTTTACGAGCATTTTCGAAGTCCCTGCCAGTTGCCCGAGCCACCCCTATCATCATAGTCAAGGTTGGAATACTGATGCGCTTACTCTCGAGCATTCGTTGGATATCCTGATCAGTTATAACACCATCAAGAGGAGCATGAGTGATGAAGTCAACACCAGCAAGTTGAGACATCTCTGTAGCAGTTAGACTGACAGCATGAGCAACAACAAGCTTATCGCCCAGGTGGGCGTTGGCGACGAGGGCATTGAGAGTTTCTTGATCGGGCCCAGGCACATCGGCGACTATTTTGATATAGTCTGCCCCCTCTGCAATTCGATCGGTCACAAATCGTTTGGCTTCAACTGCATTCGAGACCAAAGCGTCGCGAGGCAGAGTAGGAATGCGGCTATGGACACTTCCGGGAGCTGTGGCAGCGACACCGCAACCCCGGATGTCAGTTACGCCTTCCCTACCGCGGAGTGATTGAAGGAGCTCGATCGGCCAAGTTGCCATGTCGAGTGCTGTGGTGACGCCGAACTCGGTCATTCGCGCGAGGTCTTCTGGTCCATGCAAATGGATATGACAATCTATCAGACCTGGTAGCAGAATAGCACCCTGGGCATCGATAGTCCTGTTGGGAATTGCGTCCGGTCCGCCAATCAATTCTCCATCAATAAAAACAGTGCTCGGATCACAGATCCTCTGCCCATCGAATACTCTGACATTGGTAATGGCAGTAACGGGGTTTTCTTGCGTAGCTGTCGACATGACTCGGAAACGAATGCTGACTCGGATGGGATGTGAACAGATACCTTTGAGGGGAAAGGGCAACGAGTATTCGTAAGCTTCTCAGAAACTGAGTCCGACTGTATTAGTTGCTGTAGAGTCAGGTCGATGTTTCACCCGCATCAAGTAGAGTCAAGTCAAGTAAATTACCTAAAACGTTCGGGCCGAACCAAAAGGGAATAAGCGTAGCTGTCTCCTGCCGATCAAGCTTTCGGCCCTCCAAATGACCGACACCGATCAGTCTTATATCCGAGTGTGTTTGATAAATTGATTGTCGGAGACCGGCGCTCCAATTTCCGACCTTTCAATTTTTTTTTTGGAATTCGATGGATCTAGTTGCTGCGTACGGAGTATGCCTAAACCTTTTTTCTATCTTTTTTTCTTGCGTTGTGGGGTGGAAGTGGGATCTTCCGCTGGATCCCGGGCGTTTTTTTTACGGCGTGAATATGAGGAAGGAAAGTTCAGATGCTCATATCATCATTGGCAATGAAATATTGAAAATAGAATCTAGATAAATGACCTGTAGATAAAACGGAAAATAAAGCGATGAAACATATGGTTAATTGGCCAGGGAAATGCACGGTGGCAGTCTGGAAGACAGGCCGTTCGGTCAAAACGTCAAGGAACACCATATAAAAACTAGTGATGACTAGTCACAACCTGTCGTGCATTCAAGGGGACCGAGGGTACCAGAAAGAAAACAACTGTCTCGTTTGAAATGATAAATGATAAAGACGAATGTCAAAGCCAACAAGATAGTTGTGCGAAATTAGTTAGTATGGCTTGTGCTGCGCAAATATTGACAAGATGGAAAAAATGAATTCAAGTTGATTCCTGAAATTACAGAGCCCAGCCTGTCATGTTCTGTGGCAAAGTTCATCTTGTTAGGGTGGCTAAGGGGGTCATGTGTACTATGCCAATGTATTCTACGAAACGAGAACGGCGATGCCAAGTCTGAGACGCAACTCTGTTTCCCCGCACAATCTCTTACGCCTCCCCACACCAACTCAAGTCTTGCCATCTCCATCATTCCAGATATCTATGTCTCTGAGCACAGAACGCTCCAAGATAACACAGGCCTGCATTCACTGTAGGAAAAAGAAGGTGAAATGTTGGTTACCTTACTGAGATTGTCCGAAACTTGCTAAAAATCCTCTACATAGGTGATGGTACAGTCCCTTGTGGGAATTGCATGGTACGCCGTATTCTAATACGGTTTTTGAGGGAAAATTTAATTAAACTTGGCTATAGGACCGCGGGCAGCAATGTAGCTATCCAGTATTGCGACGAAGAGGGCGCAAAACTCACGAAGAGCGCGTGAGACACAGCGGTGCCAACAGAGTTGAGACAACTCAGCAAGTTGAGCCTAGCAACCGCAGTGAGTATAATATGTTTGCCAACATAACACCACCCAGTCAACCATCTTTTACATTCGGTGAAGGGAGACAAGTACTGCTACACCCAGAAAGTGATCTAGCTGGGCCCAGCCAACATTCTCCGCATATAAGGGAGGAAGCGGGATCAGCGGATCGCTCGGCAACTAGGGGACTGGGAGCTTCTGCAAACCCGCATAACACATTGTTATATGAAAACAATGAAGATGATATTCAAGAAAGGCCTCTAACCCCTCGAGACTCTGAAATCGATCGAGAGGAGGCTACGATGGACCTCCAAGCTGTACGTCAAGGATTCAATGCTCTGCGTGCTTACTTTCTTTTAACTAATTGAAATCATAGGTGAACTGGGAACATCATGGTTCGTGACAATAATATTCCTCTAGACTTATGAGACATCCAGCTGACTAGAATAGGACCTGGATCATGGCTTTCTATCTGTTCCAACCCTGGATTACAGTGGGTCTGCGCCAAAGTCGGGACCACCAGGTTTCATCAAGTTGCTCATGGATTGGTGATGGATTGGACAAGTCGCTTGACGCTTGATCGAGGTACTCTTCGTGAAAGAAGTCCAGAGCCAGACATACAAACTGCTTGGCGCTATACTTCAGGTGTGTGTAGGACCTTTTCTCTTTACATCAGCCAGCTAACCTGGTAGCTTATTTCGAAAAATCACACGACAGCATTTTCGGAGCCATTTTTAGGCCCGATTTTGAAGCACGTCTGCGATCGCATTTCCAGAACTCCAGCAAGAATGACGATGCCGCCTGGTATGCTCTACGAAATGCTGTTTATGGAGTTGGATGTCGATCTTCGGGGTCGATGGACCAAGCTAGAAGTTTTGAAAAAGTCCAGCAAGAATCTTTACAGTTCTTCCACAACGCGTTTTCCGTTTTATCGGATCTTCTATACTTGCCAAATGGCCTCATGGCAATTCAAGCTCTCCTTGTGATGGTAAGTAAATTTCCACAAGCCCCGAGAGTATTTGTCTCTGACTTGACATGGAGACTTCCTTTGCGGAGCTTTTAGGAAGCCCGGCCGTTGAATATATGCTCTGTTCTTCCGCCGCTCGGCTTGCACAGTCCAAGGGTCTTCATAGACAGCCATCGAAGCTATGGAAACTCCCCACTGTAGAGATCCTCCATAGAAGCTGGGTTTTTTGGACTGTATATTGCTACGAAAGCTATATTGCCTTGCGGTCCGGTCGCCCATCTGTAAGTATTAACTTCTGACAGCTCTTTGAATGTTCCGATTATGGGTTACATATCAACGGGGTTGGTAGTACTACTCGATATTTGCTAACAAATCAATATAGACTTTCGACGACTCTGAAATTAGCTGTCAGATACCTAGCCGAACTCCCGAAGGGAGCACGATAGATATTGAAGTATTTTCTGCTATTATATCTCATGCTAGGATATGCTCGGGGATGATTCAACAGCTTTTTTCGGTCAGGGCGTTCAACCAATCTCCTGGGAAACTAGTCGAGATCGCGAGAAAACTGGAAGATAGGCTGGAGGAGTGGCGAAATCTCCTCCCACCTCATCTTAAAATTCCGCAAAATACTGAATCTTCACCTTCAATAACATCTTATCGACAGAGAGTGAATATATTACGCCTAAACTATCTGTATTGGGGTAGTGTGATTGCTTTACATGCGATCTTCCACTATCCTTGGATAGCCTCAGCTCTGACTCGCAAAGAGCCGCACTTCGATGATCAAATCTCAAGAAGCTCTAACTTGGCGGCTGAGGCATCGAGGGGGATTTTGTCAGCCCTCAAAGATACTTCATTCGACACAACCTTTCCATCGCCGTGAGTCATCCTTATCCTCGGTCCCGCTTCTTTCCCCAATATTTACTAATGACCCTAGAATTGCATTTTATTACCCCATGCTTGCTGTGATCAATCTGTTTGTTTACATTCTCAAGAACCCAGAGAGTGCCACGGTACAATCGGATATGGCGCATCTTGATCTCGCCGCCGGACATTTTGCAAAAGTTCGCTTCTTGACCGCGTCGCAAGTATCCTTCGAGTTTCCTCGCGAAATTATTGGTCTTGCAAGCAAAGTCGTAAGACTGAAATCCACACAATCAACTGTAAATGCGATTCCAAGTTTCCCGGAAGATACCTCTCCAATGGTAAGTGATTCTACCTCAATTATTTCCAGCAACCTCTTTTCCAATAGCTTTTCTAATATCTTTCTAGGATTCGGTATTTGATTCAATTGTCGGAATTGATGAATTGAATCAACTCTCGACGGACCTTTTTGATTACTTTCCTGAATCGGGGGATATGATCTTTTTTTGAAACATATTCATACCGAAAATTTAATTATTCAAGTGATTGTACTATAGGGAGGTATTTGATCATGCCTGTTTGACCTTTCTGTTGCCCCTTTCAAAGGCAGATTTCCGATAAATACTAGTATGAGGACAGAATCTGGCATCGAGAGCCATAATTTTACTTGCAACAAATGAGGCCATTTTTGTCTGAGCTTTGATCCATGTGTTGTGAACCTTGGAAGTTTAACATAAGTTGACAACTCTTGACTTATCGCGCACATGTTTCCGTCATTTTTTCACAATTTAGAAATATGATGTATTCTAAAGTACTAGTAGTTGACAGGAAAGAAAGACACATTGATGACGAAAATCGCGGGAGTCCAGTTAAAGTAACAAATAGGTTAATAGTTTGTATTTAGGGTCACTCCCAGATCGCAAAACACGCGGCTTGTAAAATCCCCACCTTCGCCCGCGGACCTGCGACTTTCCGTACAAAAGGAGTCGGCCCGAAAAAGGACCGCGCTGACTGGTACGGCAACATAAAAAGCTTATATTTTTCCGAGTTTATAAACAAATATATCATCCGTTATATATGCATGATCTAACTAAGAAATCTACGTCTACCATCAAAATGGAATCTTGGACGCATCTGATTCGTTTTGTAGCGGTCGAAGATGGTAAAATCCATCTGGGCCAACTCGTCGACTCGAATCGCGATGTCGGCGAGGACTCCCGAAATGGATATCCAATCCATGCACGTCTCATCGAAGGTTCTATCTACGACGGTAAAGTCGGAGAAAAAGTTTTACAAGTCCGACAGGTGCGCTTTTCTACTTCCCTTTATAGAAAAAGACACGCAGTCACTCAAAGTTTGCTTCCAGCTGTTGTCGCCGATTGATCCAAAATCATGTCCTTTCATTCGTTGTATTGGACTCAACTATAAACTTCATGCAAAGGTGTGTAGCTCGTTCAAGCTCCTGTTTAATCTTTCTACAGGGGGTGGCCTGCTAAGACATGCTATAGGAAGCGAATTTTCCAATTCCTACGGTTCCCGCGCTTTTCTCAAAGCCACGAACGGCGATTTCTAATCCATATCCCGAAACAATCAATATACCAAAGTGTGCCCAGGATGGTACGAGTGATTATGAGGCCGAACTGGTCATTGTGATTGGAAAATCTGCTCGAGATATCACCGCCGAGCAAGCACCCAATTTTATTCTAGGGTACACGGCAGCCAATGATGTTTCAGCGCGAGCCATACAAATGAAAAGCGCAATGCCTTGCTTTTCAAAGGGAATGGATTCAAGCTGTCCTCTTGGTAAGTGTTATAGATCTGAACACGTAGTGAGCATTAATCTAACCTTTCTGCCTCATTATCACAGGGCCTTGCCTGGTATCCCCTACTGCTATCCACGACCCTCAGGATCTGTCAATCGGCGCAACCTACAACGGTGTGACAGTTCAAAATGGAAATACCAGTGACATGGTTTTTGGAGTATATCAATTGGTAGCCTATTTGTCTCAAGGGACTACTCTCGAACCCGGATCAATCATTCTGACCGGAACTCCGCAGGGAATCGGATATTTCCGATCTCCTAGAATATTTCTAGACGATGGAGATGATATTCGGGTTCATATTGGAAAGATCGGCACTCTAATAAATAGAGTACACTATGAGTAGCCTGCTTCTACTAAAATGACTTTGGTATGGGTTAGTTACCACTTGCAAAAAATAGTTTTCTTTCAAATTAAATTCCATAAGCATCACAACCTCCGAAGTTATTGTATTGAATAGACAGAAGATAAGTCAACTGACGCAAGGTCAATGCTTGAAATCATCTAGGCAATAGGGTTCGAAATGTGAACAGTCGAGACACTTCAAGTTGCGTTTACCTAGGTTTTAGTTTAGGTTGGCGGATCGTCCAGATTCATTGTACTACAAGTTACCAATACCAGGTGGGTCATGTATAGACATACTAGTAGTTTCCAAGGTTGTTCTAATATATATAACTTTGGGCAAATAATTCTATAGATGCTAATAACTTTATTTTAATTGACTCTGAAGATCGTATAGTTAACCGGTCAAAAATTACTATCATACTTTGAAAGCCGTATCCGTTTTCAATGTGAGACCAATTGTCCCAAGTGAATAACAATCAAGTTTTCGAAAAAAGTTGAATCTAGATTTGATTTTGATATCCAAGTCTTAATCCAGCTACTCCTAACGGGTGGAGTCTCCTGATTAACATGTGAATTATCTAGTCTGTCTTGAAGTTCAGTTCCCCACCCCAGCTCCTCAGTTGCTTGCCACGCAATTGTAAAAGAATGATTATAGGAAAGACGGCTGCACAAATAGCTGCTTGGGTTCCAAACGCCACTTCTGCGCCCACACGTTCGACCCATGAGACCTGGAAGTAGCTGATAATAAAACCACCCGCAGTTCGCGAGAAGTTGATCCACATTCCAACCTCACCGCTAGCTTCAGGGTAGGAATTCAGAACATACATGTTGACACTGGCTGAGTTGAGAATCATTCCAAATGTATATAGCCCCCAGCCGAGCGCAACGAGCATGTAATGGTAATGCCGTTGTAGCGAGAACCCAACTATAACAAGACCCGAAATCATGAAAGGCATCGCAAGCCATACAATAATTAACCGGGCCTCGGGATCGAAGTTGCCTTTATTCCGCCGGATATATAGTCTTGCCAGGATATCGTGCAACCAGTGACCTGATATGTATGCTGCTATGGATGCGACAGCAGGGGCAAAATACATGAAGCCTGTCATATTATACATTATCAAAATAGGCTCAGCAATCCAATAGTTTCCGAGGGATTTAGTTCATTGGATAGATAAGAGGGATTGTTTCACACATACCGGTCTGTTTTGGCCAAAAACCGTAAAGAGAGGATAAGAATATAGGAAGTGTAGCATTTATCGCAACGAGCCATGCGAAGATGCAGACATAGTAAAAATTGGTAAGTAATATGATTGGCTTGATAAGAACCTTGAACGACCGGCAAAAAGCTTCACTCAGTGTGTTGCGACGACGACGTGATCGCCATTGCTCGATACCGACCAGCCGCAGCCACCTGGACTGTGAAACTGGCTGTTCCGAGAGAGGAATATTGCGATCGTAATATGTTTCCTCGCCAAACAAAACAACGGCTAATAAAGCCAAGCCAGTCATGATCGTGTAAATCCAAAATGGCCACCGCCATGACAGACTCGTGATCATAAAAGAGGCAAGAAGCGGCCCGAGAAAAGGCGAAAGGATCACACAGGATTGCCAAAGATTGATTTTGCGCCTAATGTGGGTCAATTATTAGATTTGAATGATGATGGATTTCAAAATGACGTAGTTGAAATTCCTTACGCTTGCTCGTGAAGGAAGAATAGATCCTTAATGAACATTAGGCCACCCTATTGAAATATTATCAGCGTGAGAAATTGAGACCATAATATGCGAGAAAAGAAATTACCCCTTGAGCGACCCCTGAAAAGAAGCCATTCATAACTCGCGGCACGAAGAACCCAGTAAATCCAATAGAGCCCGCTTGGCCAGCAGATGTTGCGAAAGCAAAGAGCGTAAACCAGAAAAGGACTGGCAGTCGACCAAAATATGCAGACAACATAACCGCAATGACTCCTCCCGCGCCGACCATAAATTGGTTTCCCGACTGAGAATGGTTAACTTCATCTGGGGTAATTCCGTACTCTCTGCAGAAAATTGAAATAAGACCAATACTCTTTAAAAATTGAAAAAAATTCTAAATTTGCACTCATGGTGGATGTACTTACTCTGCTTGCGGCGCCAAAGTCGCTGCCCCAGTGACGCTACCATAATCAGGCAAAAAGGAACATGCCACAACAATTGCGAGCATGGTATGCCTTTTCTTAAAACTCCAATTCAAGGGATCCTGGGGGTCTTCTGAAGGCTCAGGAATGAGAACAATATGTCCGTCAGCGCCTGTTTTTAATGCTTCTGCTTTATATGACTCTGGGTCCAGAAATACGGCTTTCTGGTCTTGGATACCAGGATTCGCTGGATCAGTGATCTGATTTTCCAAGAATTCCGCGTGGTGAATTGAGGCGTTGGCTTTGGCGTTGGCTTCCATCTTGACTTAATTATAGTGTTCGGGTTTCTCTTGGCTTTGTACTGGTATATTCAAACCTTGGAATAGCATCCTTGTGGCGGGCGTCTTAAATATATTTTGACATCGACGTACCTACTAGGTATACTATTGGCAGCTGGGGAAAGCAACAATGGAAGCTAGTAATACCCCGGATTCCCATATTCCCCGCAAAGCGGACCCGAACCGATGGGGTTAGACACATCATCATGGATCTCTCAACGCATTGGCAAAAAGTCAAAACGTCGCTTCGCGTGGTGACAATTCTAGCTCGTATTCGGCGAGTTACTGTTTGATGTGCCCGGGTTTCTATCGCCATTCTCTACTACTTCTAAGTTTTGAACAAATGATAACAATGCAGTTTGGATTTCAAAAGGGAAAATTCCAATTAAGAAAAGGTGCCTTGTAGATGCATATATTCATGGTTGGTTACTGGATGAATATTCTGGATAGCAGAATCTAGGACGAGCCTACGGTGGGATGGAGGAAGAAAATGATGAAAGGTTTAGTTAGATGATGAAGACAAAAGAGAGAGGCTGATAGTTATAGGCAGATCTGGAGAGCCCGAGGCACTCGCCCTAATAATCTACTTGGCTTAGAGCTTTGCCTTAGAATATTCCTCAGTATCTTCACCAATGCTCACATGAATATCGCCCTGCAGCAATTGTGCCATTGCAGTTTCCAATTCTATGCCGCCACCACAACTCTTATAAACGGACCTCCAGGCTACTATGTTATCAGGTCGAACAAGAATTGCGCCACCAGACTGAGTGCCCTTCAGGCTATCCCATCGGTCGTCGTAATCCCGATAAGAACAGTTATCACCAATCTGAGCCACGAAGATTTCAATACCACGGTTTTGGCGGATATTATTAGCAGCAATTGTCCAATCACTTCCTTCGCTGTCTGTGATCAAGGAAAATCCTGCGTTTCTTGGCACCAGGTCGTGAGTGGAGATGACATGATTTCCTGCCTCAATCCAGGCATGTGGGAGACGATGTCCAGGCTGCGTGGTTGGGTAATATATAAGACCAAGTGGATCGCTCTCAACTGGAAGACTTCCGTCATGCAGAAGAAGACCATTGCGATATCCGAAGCCCAATTCAATTCCGTGAGCACAAAATTCAATAGATTGTGTGCTGACTATGCGCGCAACTTGAGCACGGAAGCTGCGGCCTTTGTCTGTATTTTCAAACAAACTTTTGAAGCGCAGCTCATTTGCCAATCTGTCTCCTGGAATAAGACCGAGAGAAGTATTGATCACGGCTGAGTTGTTGAAAGTAAATAACCCCCAGTCGGAGTTAATCTCGCCCACAGCTCGTCTTTCTGGCTCATAGCTATTTAGAATTGCCTCACTAGCCTGTCCCTTTAGAACCAGAGCCAGTTTCCAGGCAATATTAAGGGAATCCTCGACCGCGGTGTTAAGCCCTAAACCAGTCGTAGGTGGGCGACGATTTCCGGCATCGCCGGCAAGAAAGACTCGTCCCACTTGATACTTGTCCGCAAGGACTTTCTCTATGGCCCAGTGGCTGATTCTGTGCACGTCCATATTCAAGTCAGGAATCTTCAATAGTTGACGAATACGGGGAAGTAATGCAGCGTCATCGTGTCGATTTTGGTCGTCCATCGCGAATCCGCAATGAAACACCCATTCCTTGGAATTTTTGCCCCAATTGGGACCCATAGGAACAATCGCACCACTCTCAAATACTGTATTGCATTCACCATTGATGAAGTGACATGCAAAGTAACGATCATCCCAGTACTCAGAGAGATCAGCGCTGAAATGGACCGAAACCATATCAGTGATATTGGTTGGACCTTCCATCTTAACACCAAGCTTGGGGCCTATGGTACGGCCCCCATCTGCAGCAATAAGATACTTGCACCGATAGGATGAGGTATTTCCTAGTTCGTCGGACGCTTTGACAGCAACGGAAGAGCCTTCATCGACGAAATCCAACACTTGATGACCGAACAAAACTTTGCCCGGGTTCCGCCTTTCTGCAAGCTTCTTGAGAATAGGCTCCAGTCGAAATAGTGGAAGATTGCCAGAACGAAGCGGAGCATCGCGCCTATGATGTGGTGAGCTTATATACATTTGGAGCTTCCAATGTGGGAGTTATCGAACTTGTAAGCTTCAGCGAATTCGGTTCCATCGTTTCCACCGAAACATTCGAATTTGGAGATCACTTTACGATCCAAGGGCCCAGAGCCACCAAGCGAAGTCTTCCATGCAACCTGGCTCATGTGTCGTGGGGGGGCATGTCTTTTCAACAATTTCCTCTACCATATCATGAAGACGGAGAATTTCCATCGTACGTTGATTCAGATAGTGCGCCTTGGGCAGAATTGAGGTACCTGTATGCTTCTCGAGAAGAACGTGCCCGATTCCATAGTTGGACAAGAAGCTTGAAAGAGTCAACCCACAACCACCACCTCCGACAATGATAACTGGAACTTCTATTTCGTGAGCCATAGTGCTAGGAACGAGAAATGCTGAATTATGGAATTCGAAATGAAGATTATGTGATATTTCAAGCCGCACAATCTTTCATAAGTAATTTCAGATAGATATCTGGCAAGATGTCACACGAATTTCTAAGAGTAACGGCCCATCCTCCATTCCCAAGTAAAAGGCCGCTCATTTCCTTTTTAGTACGGGGAAATACATAACGTGGGGAAATCCGGGCCCCCGGCGTACCGGAGTTTTGGCTTTCTCCGTATATGCAACCATCCCGGGGAGTAGCCCCGCGCGGAAGTAAAGCTAACACTGCCATGTGCATGACCGCGAAAAATCCGGCTTAGGTACTAAGTCGGGGTAACGGAGTGCGCTTCTAAATGTTGAGGCCTATAGGCCTCAGGTATCAAGCATGTCTTTGCCATGTCCTAGTAATGTAGTTTGCTCTCTCTCCTTTAAACCACCACTTTTTCAGTTCTCGCTCGCGTCACTACCAGCATTATACAGCTTGATACTGTAGTGGATTTGGCTCTACTTTCTTACCCAAGTGGGAAGGTTGAGATATAATAGTTTTTGATGATTGTTGATTGATAGAAAAGGTCTGTTTCACAATTAAATACATGATTTCATGAATCAATTTGTTGTGCCCTCCGTATAGTAACAAAGCATTGAACTGACATCGTGAGACATGGTGTCAAAAAGATTGAGTCTTTATGCTCCAACGCATATTCAATAGTCATCTTTTGTCAGACGCTACACTGCTGCTGGAATATCATGACGCTTTCCTATCTCGACTCGCTTCTTAATGACTTTCTCATCCTCACCCGCTTCCAACCGGCGAAGCAGCTCATCTGGGTGTATATCTACTCCGATAGGATTTTCTTGGAAATATCTGGAGGTCATGAACTCATTTGCCTCCTCGACGGTGTCGAAGTTATCGACCTGGGTCTCAATAGAGTTTCCATCCGGATCTTTGTAGTAAATACTAGTCGTAGGTCCGTGGTTGACACACCAGGTGGGCTTGATCCCAAGTTGCACTCTCAAATTCCAAGCTTTAAGAAGTCCCTGAAGTGTATCGTAGGTAAAAGCGACATGGTGAAGACCTGCCGCGGTTGCCGGACGAGGAACGGTGCTTTGATCGTTAATGATAGCGACACGGTGATGTTCTTCGTCATAGCGGAGGAATGCAATGAACTCGTTTTCGAATACCCGTTCCGCGCCCAGGAATGTGGACCAGAATTCTACCATGGCGCTGATGTTGGCCGTTCTGAAGACGACATGGGCTAAGCCGCTAGGTCGAAGAATCGAAGTATCAGACATGATTGAAGTAATGTTCGCAAATAGATTTATTTCAGCGGCGAGATTTGAATTTAGTTGGGGTTCATTTGCCAGGGAAGTTCCACAAGCTGTATTTAACGTCTTACAGGCGTGAGACTGAATAATGTTAGTCAACATCACACATGCTTATCGTGTTAATGGGATGTCTTACTAGCAGGGTCGGAAAAAGGTACTTGTCCAAATCCGGGTTGTTAATAGTGGTGTGGGCAAGCAAGTCAAAGAGCGCTAGAAGGTCGGGATATTTAACATGTTTTACGCCATTCCGCTTTGGTTCGGATATATTCACTGGAATGGGCGGTGAAATGATCTACCCCATACCCCTAGTAGTGCATACTAGTGACGACCCCGACGTGTATCTTGAGGCCTGAGGCGGAAAGGTTTCCAAATGGCGGGGTTGACATCATGATAGTATGATATAGGTCGCCACTCCGGACCCTCAGGCAGGAAATACGGACATAGCCCCAAGATAACCCTATACTGAATCAACTAGTTACACTTCTCATCCACTCTAATTTTCTTAGTATGGTCCACTTTCGTCTGGTTATCATCCTATCGGCACTTCATGGTGCATATGTTGTGTTCGCGTTCCAGTCATTTAGTTCCGCATTATTTTCACCCGCGAGTTGTCAGATGTAGTATTTGATAATGAAATTTTGATGTTGTAAAGAAATCAACTGTTTGCCACTTTTACGAACTAATTAAGTGCTTACGTTGATGAATTTTGAATATTTCACGAGGATTGAAATTGGATAACGTGCAGTATAATACAGGATAGCTGAATGATTTGAAAATCGAACAAAGTGCTTAACGTAGTCCAATGCCGAGTTTCTCAATGTTCTCCAATACCTGGGTCACGAGCTGCGCGCATCTCGCGACTGAAGCACCATCAAGAACTCGATGATCTGCACTCCAGCTAAGAACGGCCTTATCACGCCTCACAATTGATGTATCATCCTGATTCCTAGCCTGTATAAAGACCGGAACTTCTTCGACCCTGCCTAGAGCGACAATGCCAACTGCAGGAGGCACTATGACAGGGCTAACAACAGAACCCCCGATACTCCCAATGTTGCTCACAGTGAAAGTAGCTCCGCTCATATCAGATGGGGTGAGACGACCTTCTTTAGCAAGTGCGCCAAGTCGCTTAACTTCAGCGGCGATGGAAAAAATGGACCGATCTTGAACATCTTTGACAACCGGAACCAGAAGGCCGTTAGGTGTGTCGATGGCAACGCCGAAATTATGAGACGCCTTGATAATCAACCGGGGACTTGACTGATCCGTCTCTGTGTCTGAAGTGGGCGTTCAACTTCGGATGACGTAGGAAGGCTTGTGACAGAGCCTTGATAAGGAAAGGAAGAAGGGTTAACTTCGTAATGTCATCCCCATACATATCTTTCGAGGTGTCTAGCTTCTCATTGAAGCTACGCTGTAGACTGATCAAAGAAGTGACGTCGACAGAGTGGCTGTAGCCAAAGTGCGGAATGTCAAGAGCACGAGTAATAACCTTGAACATCTGGCTCTCGATCGGGGTCAAAGGTACGACTTGATCTTGTGAGATGACAGTGGGCTGGGTTGCAATGTTTTTGGACAAGGATTTCGGAGCTGAGATTCCTGAAGAAAGATAGCGTTGCACGTCCTCCTTCAGCACTCTTCCACCCTTTCCACTCCCAGCGACATCCTTGATATCAATTTTGTGCTTCTTGAGCATAGCCCTGACTGCTGGGACAATGAGCCCAGAGTTTATGATATCAGGCTCGGGACCCGAGTTGGAAATTTTGTTGGGCGTATCGGTGTTCACTGCTACTTCCGCGGCGTTGGTAGCCACAACGCTCGAGTCATCTGAAGTAGCCTCTCTCGCTCCCACTTCTGTCGAATATTTATCAAGATCTGATAGGCTTTCTTCAACATCAATGTCGAGAAGAGGCTATATAGAATCAGCGAATATTCGACGCCAATTTCTCCGTGGGGACCAGGGCAAATTTACTTTCCCTACTTCAGCCATCTCATCTGCTTGATGGTGAATATTGGCAATGACTCCGTCATATCGGGAAGTGATCTAATTGAATTGTTAGGAAAATTGAGAGCAAAGTTGAAACAACATGACAAACCTCAACAGAGGCCTTATCCGACTGAACCTCACAAATGGCGTCAAACTGGCTCACTCGGTCTCCTGGTTTGACGAACCATTGAACAACCCGGCACTCCGTAATGCCTGAGTCTGTTAATGACAGTCTCATAAAGGATCTAATTCTATAACTCACCTTCGCCAATATCGGCGAGGAGATACGGTTTGAGTATTTCACGTGAAGGTGTTGTGTGGAAGTCACTCCTCGAAACTCGAACATCCCGACTTCGATATGTCGCGAGATACCGACTCGGCATGCGGGTCGCAGGTAGGGAGCCCCGAAAAATCGAGAAAACCATATCAACGGGTGTTGCTGGGAGGGGATGAATGGCGAAGGTGGTGGTAGTATTTGTGGATGTGAGAGAGGGCGAAGCTATCTACACACAAGATGGAAGGAAGGAAGGCACGGCAATCTGGATGTCTGAGGGGTGGGATCCAACGGTTGTCTCTTCTAATTTGATACAAACGGAAAATAAATTAATACAGAAACAAAAATAAAATATGCCCCATTAACGAATATCAATAAATACCCATCTGGGCACATATACAGAGCGCGAGAAAGAACAACCTATGCTATGAGTACCTGGCAAGTAAGAGAATCTCCTTGAATAACCGATGATAGATATTACATCTGAGAACAAAGTGTTAGAAATTAGAGTCCCTGGCCTCCGAGTTCGGAGCTTACTCGATAGATTCGGCCCGGGCGTTGATCTGCAGAAGGCGAGGCCAAGACCCCCGCATACGCCCTATAGGTTTCCTGGTTTGCATTCACATTCGAGCCGACGTTAACCGATCGGATTCTGTGAGTCTAAGACTTGTCCATTCATGTGGTACAGTATCTCGGAGTCTCTGACTACTAAATATGGACAAGGTTGAAAGCAAGGACCCTTCTTTTCATTATCTTCAGACATTTGCATCGAAGCCCTAAATTTGCAACTTACAGCGTCTTGATCATGAAAATGACACCAGGCCGAACATTATCTCCCTTGCTCTGGAGATCACGATCTCTGGTTGGGGGCAGTCATGGTTTTCAGAGGTTTCTCAGACAAGCAAGCTCTAAGACATCCGAAAGATCCTCTCAGTCTTCGTGAGTGGGCATTCCAACTTTCCCCACAATATTTGATCATCGCTGAGAGGATGTCACTATAGGCCATTCCCGGGAGCAGTGAAAAGTCCTCTTACAACCAAGATGGATTTCCTCAAACCAATAGAAGTTCCTCCCATCCCGACCTACCATGTGATGGGCTCAGATGGCTCGATAGAAGATTCCAGTCGTGGGCCACCCGAAGTGACCGATGAGCAGGTCCTTGAATGGTACAAAAACATGTTAACCGGTAAGTCAAATTGATTCCAAGCAAGGATAAAGCGAACTCTCTTTGATCAAGATAAATGATAGTCAATATTATGGACAACATCATGTTTGAGGCTCAAAGACACGGGCGTGTCAGTTTCTATATGGTAACTTATTTCTCATTTCCTCTATCCCGATTTATGTTGTTGATGAGCCGCAGGTTTCCGCAGGAGAAGAGGCTGTCACTGTTGGCTCTGCAGCTGCACTGGACTCGAAAGACGTGATTACTTGTCAATATCGGGAAACCGGAGTCTTCGTGCAGCGCGGCTTTACTCTAAAAGATTTTATGAGTCAGTTAACTGCCAATCACAATGATCCCGGAAAGGGGCGAAACATGCCAGTTCATTACAGTGGAAAGACCAAAGTCAATGTGGTATGTCATCCACCAATCTAGAAATGGAACGACAGATCTCTGACCATGAGAACGTGAATTAAGCATGCAGTTGCGTCGACCCTTGGCACACAGATCCCCCATGCCACCGGTGCTGCATATGCACTGAAGATGGACGCCCTCGAGAACCCCGACCAGCCTGCGCAGGTTGCAGCGTGCTATTTTGGCGAAGGGGCTGCAAGCGAAGGAGATTTCCATGCAGCACTTAATGTGGCCGCAGTGAAGAAGTGCCCAGTGGTTTTTCTTTGCCGAAACAATGGCTTCGCGATTTCAACTCCTACCACAGAACAGTATATCGGGGACGGAATTGCGGTGCGTGGAATGAGCTATGGTATCGAGTCTATTCGAGTGGACGGAACCGATATTTTTGCTGTCTACGAGGCAACCAAAGAAGCTCGGCGACGAGCTCTGGAGGACGGAGGGCGCCCAATCCTCCTCGAATTCATGAGCTACCGCGTGTCTCACCACAGCACTAGCGATGACAGCTTTGCGTACCGCGACCGAAACGATGTGGACTCTTGGAAGGCAAAAAATGATCCGCTTGCCCGTTTAAGAAAGTGGATGGAGAAAAGGGATTTATGGGATGCCGAGAAAGAAAAGCGATCTCGTCAAACAATCAGAGCCGATGTTCTGCGGGAACTGGTGGCTGCCGAAAGAGAGAAAAAGCCAGCGCTACGGGGTGTTTTTGACGACGTCTATGCTGAGCTGACTGAGGAAGCAGAGGAACAAAAGGAAGAGCTTAGAAGGCTAATGATGAAATATCCTGAAGAGTATGATCTCAATGAGCATGAAGGGGGAATTCAGGGCCTGTAAACAAGCAGAAGAGAAATGACGAACATCCGTGGGAAGATGGAAAGCAAATGAACGGAATTCGTTTGAACTAAATTTTTTATTTTTTGTTGAAGAAATCGCAATAAAATCTCGTTCAACTTTACCAAAGAGAATATCTTGAATAACAAGACGGCCATGGGCTCCTACTATCTGACTAGGGAAGGGTAATCTTTTGATACGGATGAAGTTGGCTGCGACAGTCATATGGTCTTCCGTCGCATAGAGATTTAGCATTCCATTTTAGACTTATTTACTTTGGAAAGTTGTTCAAGTTTGAGGAAAGTTTTTCTTTTTTTTTCAAATATGGAGAAAGACAGGACATAAATCTAATCACACAAAGTCCAAGGTTCTCACACCGAGCTCAGCCCAAAAAGAATTCTCTGTCAAGCAACATTTAATCCCTCAGTACCTCCAGGATTGTGTCATATACCCCTAGAGAACACCAAACAGTTAATTTTCAACCGTAACCACGTGTGCACGATTCAAGGAAACTTACTGGTAACATCGGGTAGAATGTATTTCTCCCAGGCGAGACCTGTGTGAGTGGTCCATCCAGCAACGCGTCTGATGGGAGCTTCAAGATGAAAGAATGCCTTCTCCTGTATTGTCGAAGCAACCTCCGCACCAACGCCAAAATTAACCATACTCTCATGGACTATCATAGCTCTGCCAGTCTTTTTGACACTGTCAATGACTGTTTTTCTGTCCCAGGGATATATCGTTCTCAAATCAATCAATTCGATTGAGACACCAGGTATTTCCTTCTCGGCGGCTTCGATCGCAGCTTGGCAGGTGTATAAGGGTCGGCCATAAGAAACAATGGTGAGGTCAGCACCTGGCTTCACAATCTCTGCCTTACTCAGGGGTAGCATGTATGAGGCGTCTGGGACCTCTTCGACGGCAGCACGATAGAGGATTTTAGGCTCTAGGAAGATAACCGGGTCTTTTGACTCGAGGATCGCAGACAGAAGAAGGCCTTTTGCTTGGGATGGCGACCGTGGCACAACGACTTTGAATCCTGGAATGTGACAGAACAGACTCTCTGGTGATTGGCTGTGGTATCTGTCATTGTGAAATACTCCCATTAGCTTTCGTTGCATACAAGTATCTGGGAACAAAGGGGACTGACAATGCACCATGCCCAACACCCCCGGAAGGCATTCGGATAACCATTCCTCCAAGGTTGCTGCCTGTCGAGCCCTCTCGATAGCGAAATTTGCTTGCTTCATTGACAATTTGGTCAAAAGCTGGAAAAACGTAATCTGCAAACTGGATCTCAACGACTGGCTTCCTCCCTTCTGCTGCAGCACCAATAGCGGCTCCGACAATGCCTTGCTCTGTTAGAGGAGTGTTGAATACTCTGTCAGTACCGAATTCATTTTGAAGTCCACTTGTGCAACGGAAGACCCCTCCGAATGCAACATCCTCACCGAAGCAAAGCACATCCTTGGATGAACGCAGCGCGGTGGCCAAAGCAGTATTGACGGCCTGGCACAGATTCAATCGTTTGGATGGTCCGTCATCAGGAATACTGCTATTCTGGAATGTCTTCGAGGAATGATGCAGCAGTGGAGTAGTTTTAAAGTCGATTGGTACATTGAGTCGGCGTGATTTGACAGCTGTTGTTGCATAGCCACGCGCCATAAAGTTTGATAATTTCCATGAGGATATGTGACGAGTAGCCATTTCTTTTATCGAGGTATCTTAACTTCGAAGGATATAGCAAGCGTGTCGAGTAAATCAATGAATGTTTCCCAATTTCATTCGCATTTCATACTATCAAACCTCCCAGGTCTGCTTTTGGGGTTCGGTTAGAAACGGATAGCATCGATGCATGGCGCTCGAATTGTCGGACTCCGATCGACTGGAAAGCTTTCCCCGCAAGTTTCTTTGGACATAGGGCTTGCAGGACTTGGAGTCAGCAAAGGAATAAATGCCGGAGTTGCCAATGTCTCCGAACAGATGTGGGATAGCGCAACAAGACACCCGAGATCGGAGCCGGAGTTTAGGTTTACCCCATAATTTCATACCCCGGGCACTGAATCTAAGCGGGGCTATTACCTGTAAAGAAATTGAAAATGTTAAAGTTAATATCGTCGACTATTCACCGATTGTCCGATCAAGGCAAAATGTCCGCGCAAAAGAAGTGTTTACGTCAAAGCATCCGGTCGGTTTGTTGCGCTCATTCAATTAATATCAAATAGTTCGGGGTCTCCCTCGATTCCCCAAGGACTAACTAGGCTCTCTAGCCGAAAGAAGGAAGGGCTGGGGTATTTAGCATTAGTTTTGTCCCTTGAAATTGGTTGTTTATCTTCCATAAAAACCCATTCCATCAATCAGAAAGATGGCCACGGACAATTCGACAAATGCCGCCATATGGCCTACTTCCATGCCCTCATCAGACGTGAAGCAGTTGGTAGAACGCTTCTTTACTTTGGTAGACACGAATTCGGATGATGTAGGGCAAACGTTAGCAGATGAACTCTTTACCAATGATGGAGTGTTCATCACGGCAAACGCAACTTTCCAAGGGTCGGCAGGTGAGATCATGATCTTGGGTTTTCTATTTGCAGATTTGGGCTTTGCGCTCATATTTAAATCCAGACATATTGCATTCGAGGAGGGGTGCCTGGACTACTGTGAAAAAACGACGTCATACAATCTTGAAGAGCTACGTGAACGACATACACGGCACGGATATCATTTTTGTAGGAAATTTGAAAATGGAAGCACTCGATGGAACAAAGACAAGTCTCGAGTTTGTGGCTCGGATGAGAATTGAAGAACAATGGCCAGGTCCCAGAATAAGTCAATATCAAGTTATCAGTCCGGCTCCAAAGGACTCCCGGCCTATTGTGGATTCCGAGTGATTTTTTCCTATCTGAATATGGGTCCATGGATATCTTGGGTGATTTTCTTGCCGATTTTAGATGTTGTCCCAAGAGCCCTTGGCTTCAATTTGTGCTCGCAACTGAGAAATCAAAGTTCTCCCAGTCAAATATCCCAATTATCACAGTTGTATAGTTCATGCGATAACTAGTTACTAGATAGACATGAATAAAACCAGCTACAACAACAAGCCTGAGTCCAACGCACCCGAAAAATCGAAAAAAAAAGGTAAAGGTATGTAATTAACTAGAGACCCATAAACGCACGAGAAAAGAATTGGTCGAATCTGTTCAATTGTTTAGGGGTGGTGGTGGGTCACGTGCATGTAAACAAAGCGCGGCTGTCGCAGTACAGCATCACCAACCTCACCAACTACCCCTCGTCGCAACAGAGCGGGGCCCCAAACCACACCCCAACAAATATTCCAACCAAATCGCAGATATGAATCAAAAAGCACACCCCTTCGGTTCTCCGGACCCGCAGGAAGAAGAGCTCGACGCCGAGATTCGCTCCATTCGCGCACAGAGTACGTTACGTTTACATCCAATCCAATCCAATCCAAACAACCCAAACCCCAAACACAGCACGTCAAAAGACAAATCAGATACCAACTTGAACCAAACCCAGCTGACAAAACACTAAACTAGTCTCAACCCTCGCCCACCGCAAAAGAATCCTAACAACAAGCCTCCTCTCAAGTCCCAAAATCAAAACCCTCCTCCAAAACCAAACCTCAACAACGACAACGACAACCCTCACAACCCTAAAAGAAGACCTATCCCCACTAGTAACAGCAGCCGGCGCCCACACAACCACCAATCACCACCGCATCGCCTTCGGCGCAACGGCATTCCCATTCAAAGATCCTGCGCCGAATTCGCCAGACCCCAATCTATTGGGCATACGTATTGACGTTTGTGCGCGGGATGGGCGATTTGCGAAACCTTATTATGTGCTTTTGCGACAGGAGCGCGGTCGGCGCAATGGACAGCAGCAGCAAAGAGGGAACGGGAATGGGAAGAGACTCTGCGTCCATCGACATACGATTCCAGCTTTTATTTCGGTGGATAGATTGGCGGGTGTTTATTTACCGTTACCTTCATCTTCATCGTCGCGTCACGAGGAGGACGGGAGCGGGAGTTCTGGGTCTGAATCTGAATCCGAGAGTGGTCCGATGAAACCAGGACAAGCGCGCAGTACGAGGAGAAAGCAAGATCTACGTGGCTTTGTGCGTGAATTGAGGAGGGAATTAGTGGCCTGGCATCTCCGTTCCGACGCTGTGGTTTTCCTGCGAGAGAAATTGGGACTTATTCGTGATTCCGAATCTGAAACCGACGCAAACGCAAACGAGGACGAAGAAGAACAACCCTGGGGCGAAAAGAAGTCTCCACCTCGGAACGATTTGGGAATTATTGGGTTAGAAGCCACGGCTGTTGAGGCGCGGTATGTGCGGATGGAGTGGGAGGATGGTCGACTTGGACGGTTTAAGTTGTCTAATGCTGGACTTGTGGAGCGGGCTGTTTTTATGAATGATCGCGGTCGTGATAAGAAGGTTGAGGATGCTGTTACTGGAGGTGGGGGGGAGGGTGGAGTCGCTTTTTGAGAGGTTGAAGGGGCTTCCGGATATGGAGTCAAGTTCGTGATTAGCATGATGCCTATGGGCGGATCATGGAAGTCAGGTTGCATGCACCAGTGCTATATTTGGCCGACGGATCGAAGCGCCGTCCAATACTTAATATGATACCCGATGCTCAGCATCATTGATACGAGGAATGAGAATTGAACTTATCAAACTATTTAATCACTTCTATGATAACTTGAACCGTACCTAGTCCACGGGTATCTCAGAAACAAATGCTATGCACATGAGGAACCAAAGAGCCGCCGCAATGCAATATAGTCAAGGAGATCGACAGGAAATATTCACACACAAAAAAAGTGATTACAAGAAAGGTAAGGGCATGAGAATGAAAGAAACCAGTACAGGTGAAAGTGTCGAAAGCCCACCAAAACAGACCCGAGGCTTTCAACAGAACATGGGTATCAAGGCGGGCAGGTAGATGCAAAAGTATATCACCAACCAACCAAACTAAGGCGAAGTAGAGCACGCAAGGGCCAATAGTCACGAACCTGAGACTAAATATCCCCAGCAGCAACAGAAGACGCCTCCGAAATAGCACAATCTCGATTCTCAGTCTCAGAATCATCAGCAACAGCAACAGTGAACGAGATCACCGGCAACGGGCCATAAACAAGCCCATTCCTTTCTTCAAGCCGGTGGCGCAAAATAGCTTCTTCCAAATGCCAACGATGCTGCAACTCCACTTTCTTCGAATCCAAAGCCTTAATAACAGCCGTTTCCTCATTCCTATGTTCAACTTGCAGCGTTTTGATATTTTTGATATTCGTCTCGCACAGCGTATCCAGTTCGCGCTCCATACGCTCCATAGCCTCGGACAACTTCATTTCCTGCCGGTCTCGGAGAACCTTGATGCGGGCTTCGTGAAGGGCGTCCATCGACTCGTGCGCGTGGTATTGTTGCTCTAGCTGCTCTTTTTGTTGCTGCGTGATGCGACGAGCTGGTGGGGTCCCGTTTGTCTCGGAGATCATTGACTCGGAGGATTGTTGCGCAGTGCTTGTCCCTGCGGGGGAAGGTGAAGGTGAAGATGGAGGACTGGAATTGCGGAAATAGCCCTCCATATGCTTGATGCGAGTGCGAGAATTCATTTTAGCGCGTTCAAAGTCACGTTGTTGTTCCATTTCGATGGCGAGTTGGCGCTCCTCTAGTCGACTGGTCGCGGCTGTGTTCTATTTTGTCTGGATTAGTCCGGTTTCAAATGGTCAAATTTGCTAGTGGTGCGAGCGGAGCTACGAACCTTTACACGCTTCTCCTCTTCCAAGCGCTCGTTTTCTGAGTATCGTTCCGAAATGGCGGTTTGATGTCTTTGTCGCGCGATGCTGAGGGCGGCATCTTGGAATGCCATGTGTCTATTCTTTTCCAATCGATGTCGCTCTAACATCTCACCTAGCTCTGGATCATCCAAGCTTCTCTGCAGTGATTCCTTGTCGAAGAGAGGGACCTCCAATTTCGCGAGAGATTCCGACGTTGGCGGACGGGGGAGCACCTCGTTGCTTGTTGGCGCCTGTTTCTTCTGCTCGAGGTATACATGATCCACGCCCGTATCGCCCTTGGAGACCAAAACGTTTGAATCAGGCGGGAGCAAAACACTAGAGGGCCTCTTCCTGCGAAACTGGATCCGTCCAATAGCACTCTTAATGCTACTCCTCCTTTTATCCTTCTTGTCCGCCGACGCAACGCTGAGCATCGACATGCGATTCACGGGAACCGACAAATTATCCGCATTTTTACCATACGCATAAGCGCCAGGCAGAGTCCTGCTCTCGCTGGAACAATACGAGGTTGGTCGAGTGGACAGCGAAGCGAGCGAGCGCGTACTGCCCGGCTTCGCGCGCTCGGAGGCAATTGTGATTGAGGACGGGGAGGAGACGACTTGATCAAGCGGGGACGGGGAGGACGGTTCGTAGGAGGGAGTGACGGATCCATCGGCAAGGGAATTTCGATCAGTCGATGAGCCGGATGAGAGGAGCGGCGAGGAGGAGAGATCGACCATTCCAGAGGCGATGGAGGCGGCCAGCGGTGCCGAGGCTTCGATCTCAGGAACTTTCAGGCCGAGAGTGCGCGCCTCGTCGGAAAGCTGTTGCGCCCGCGCTTGTTCTGCATCTGCTGAGTCGAGGTGGAGGACATCTGTTCGGTATTGTTGCTCGTCGAAGACGGGTACAAGACTGGGTGTGGGCGGGTCGTCCATGACTCTATATGTACAGTCCACCGGTTCCAGTTCCAGTTCCAGTCCCGTATGCGAAGGTTTGAGGAAGAGCGCCTAGCCAGCGGGCGCGCATGTACTGGAGGAGGGGTGGGAGAATGCGCGAGGTTCAAGATGAAACGAAACGGACTCGTCCACGGTACTGTGAGCACGGTGGACGAGGGGGCGCACAATGACAGCATCCGCTATGGCCGTGTAATAGGGGAATGTGACTCGGGGACGAGAAAGTGGTGGAGGGTGGAAATGCAAAATCAAGGTTGGAGATTGGAGATTGGAGATTGGAAATTAAGCCTCGACAGGGTTGAGAGGGGTGCAAGCCACGCGAGAGAAGAGAAAAAAACAGGTTGAAACCTGCCAGTGTGAGGAAAGATCCGAGGTTCGTCTTTTATTTGCAAACTGATTAATCGATTCTCCAGTCTCCCTACTATTTTTTTTTTTTTTCTTTTCTTTACTTTATCTACTTTTGGACATTTGTTTCCGCCTTAATCTTCTTTCGTATGAGACTATTGACCCACGGGGCGATCCTGATGCAATGCGAGGCATGTGGCAGATACTCGGCCCGTTCAGCCTATTTAGCCCTGGAGCCCTTTCGGCATTCCTTTCTTTGTCTCACCCTGGGATTTTCTTCACTGGAATAGTAGTTCATTAGCCCACTGTCAACCCACTTCCCCTAACCCTAGGGTTGTCCACCCCGAGCGGACCCCCACGCGGTGGCGAGCCATGGGTTCGGTCAAATGGAACTTGAAACATGGATGGATCAGGCCAGGTACACGTGGCGCACAATATATAGAGGGGGGATGATAGAGAAAATGTGAATAAAAGAGCTTGGAGAGAGAGCCTGAATAGCACTAGTAGTGGTAGAGGTATCAGATGAGCACTCGTATGAGCCAACTACTCATTCAACAGATCAATAGCCAACCCGTAAGCACGCTCTTTGGCCTGATGTTGCGGGGATCCAGCCCGCGTGTGCTTGTCCCACCCGTGGTTGCACGACTCCATGCGCTCGCAGACCACATGCCATCCCTGTCTCTGTTGAAGTTTGGTCGCAAGCTCCTCCGCCTCGAGGGCCAGTGTATCGCAGTCCGCCGTAATCACCAACATACGCCTTGGGAACCGCTCCAGCTCCGCAAACCGGGGTGAAATGCGCGGATCCCGTCTGTCAAAGCCTGAATGCACATAGCAGGTATTAAACAGGCGTGCCAATGGGGCCGGAATGGGCATTCCATTCGGGTTGGGGGCAATCTTGGAATTGGCAGGGCTGCTCAGATCCAGAGCTGGGTAGAAGGCGATTAACGAGCGGAAAGTGTCCGGCGGGAAGAGACAAGCCGAGGCTGCCAGGGAGAGATTGCCCCCGGCGCTGAAACCCCCAATTGACAAGTGCGAGGCATCATACTCCTCTGGTCGGCTTAGGATGTATCTCACCGCATCTTCGACGTCGTTGAGGGCTGCTGGGAATGGACTTTCTGGGGCCAGGCGATACGAACAGTCCACCACGGTGTATTTGGTGGCGCGGCTTACTCGTCGACAGAATTCGTCGTCGGTGCCATGTTGGGGGAGCATGAATCCGCTGCCATGGAAGTTCAGGAGAACGGGTTTGGGGCCTGACGCGGCGGATGATGAATGATACAGATGGGCCTTGATGGTTCTCCCCGCGTCGCGGGAGGGAATATGGAGGACCTCATCAGGGGTGGGTGATGGTCGGCGAACAACGAAGCCTATCACATCCGAGAGGAATCGGATAATCACCACGATGGTTTTGTAGTAAGCATAGGTCAGTCCTTTCATTTTGGAGGGATGTGTTAAACGTTGGAGACGGGAGATAGGAGGCTGGGCCGAGGCTGACTGGTTTGGTTTAGAATGGATCAGGGATTCACGCTAGTCATAGATCGTTGCAGGCCCGAGCCCACTCTGTTCAACTTTATTTGCTTACTTCCGACTGGGATATGATATCTTCCGGAATCCAAAAGTAATTAAATTTGAGGATTGGAAAAGTAAATACCGCTTCTGTCAAAATGTCCCCCAGAATTGTGGTATCTCTGCCAGTTGGTAACTTCAAAAGTTGTCGACTCAGATCAAGAAATCTGCGATTATAATCGCAGGGGAATCCTCTAAGTATAACATACAGTACTATGTACCTTGCTCTTCTGCCAGTAGTCTTCCACAGGTTCAGACATTCATGGATAAACATAATTGCTTTGTCTCATACGCAGCTGCATAATTACTGGGGCAGAGTAACCGGGAGGTGGGCAAACAGGATCCTCACAAGATTTAACTCTGGAAACCTGAAATATTTTTCAACTAGATTATAAGAGCTCTTGTGATAGATAAAGCTTCCCTTGTCCAATAAACACAGCATCAGTCTAAGAAAAAAAGCCACCAATGCAATGTAGTAGTCATTAAAACGGTTTTCAAAAACCATTGCCATAAGGATGGTCTGACCGTGAGAAAGAAGCCAAGATGATAATATGAACAATGTCTTATCTCTTCTTCAAAGAAACTCCTGGAATGTGTTCCAGAGGAAAGAAAAGGCCGCGTTGATTAAGACGATATCCTCTTCAGCGTTCCTTCTCATCCAACCTGGAACAGATTCCCTGTACAAGTTTGTTTATGCATTAGGTATTAACGGGCATTTGTGGTATTTAGGTGCTACCCTTTCTTTCAGCAGGCGGCTTCAAAAGAAATAAAATGACAGAGTAGTATTATGCTTTCATTTATATTTTAAAGGGAGTTACTTCCCAGAAAATCATGTTAGCCAAGCTTATACTATACTGAGTGGTTCTAATGGTGGCGCGTCGGTATATAAGATGGTGCGTGGGTCTCGGCCATCGTGGTCGTGTTGGGACCCACATCCGCTCCACAAAAACAAACTCCCACGCACTATCCATCTCCACTCCACGCAGGTGACAAGATGCTCGGTATGCTAACGTGCCCATGGCACTATCCTCTCAACTCCGAGTGTCCTTGTTGCCCTCAAATCTTACTGTATACTCACGAAGAGGCAAGAACTTGTCCACTCGAATCCCACCGCCCTTTGATTCCGTTGCGTACAGACGAGGAAGAAAGTATTCGTCCACTTGAACCCTACAGTTCACCGAGTTCATCGCAAAAGAGCTTGTTCTGTTTTTCTTCCTCCCCTCGACTGCATACCTCAGAGTCCTATGCGTCCTGGACCGCATCCGTTGGTAGCAACTCCGTGTTTGATTTCGAAGAATCTGAATCCGACAGCTCATCATCCATCCACAGCACCGAGGAGATTAGCAGCGGCCCCAACATCTACGAGATGTACACCCATGGATGGTTCAATACTCCGATGTACACCGGTGGTATGCTTTACCCCCCGTTATCTACACTGAACTCGGGACAACCACAGAAAACTCAAGACCACCCACAAACACCACACCTCCAACCCTCTGAATCCCACCAAGACGCCTCTCTGGCTATTTCCTCGCCATCCTCATCAGACCGAGACATTGGCGACGTCCAGCTGCCACCACAATATGAAATCCCCGACCAAGAGTCCCCATCGACACCCTCATCACCCTCATCCTCTGATCAAGACGCCGGTGGAGTCGAGCTCAATTAACGTGAAAAGAATTACATGTTTGATGAGATGCCTTAGGCATCCGCGCTTCAGGATTATCTGGGTGTTTCCATTTCTGTTTTTTCCTTATTCTTTCTTATTCTTTAGAGTAGTGCCCACCTTCGATGCTACTACTTTCAGCATTAATTATTTAGCTCGCAACCGCAACCACCATCGTGACCACCACCACCATCATCCCCATCGAACGGAACTGAAGATTCCGATGAAGACGGTGGACCTTTCATGTGGAAGCATAAGATCACCCTATCATAAGACTTTATATATTTTGAAGTCACATATAACTGAGCCAGATGACCTGTCCATGGCACAACAGCTACACCTCCGATCCCACAAACTTAGTTGGAAACAAACGAGGAACAATATTCCAATGCATCATACTACTCGCCGATATCTTCAGAAAAGAGTATGTTCTGTTTTTTATCCCCTACTATTGCAGAATCAAGGTTTACCTCCCTGGAGCTTGCGAGCGACTCTGCATCTGTCGACAGTGACTCGGTATTTGACTTGGAAGAATCTGAAGACTCTAATAGCATATATTCAGTTGCCAGCATGGATGGCGTATACCTAGGTATACATGGCCTACTAAACACATACCTACACTCTGGGGGGTATGCTCTACTCACTAATATCCTCTCCTAAACCCGGAACAGCCTCGCGAACCGCAACATCCCCGGCAAGTACAACACCTCCCTCAAGCGCAGCGTCTCGCTCGAGTGTACAATTTCCCACAAGAACAGCATCTCAAGCAATTGTAGTATCTCCCGCACCTTGGTCCCTCTTCATAAGTCTCCCCTCTCGCTCTCCCATAACCATGCTCTCCTGATCGGGAGGCTGAGTCAACGGAGAAAGGATGATGAGCTAAGGAACACCATGTATCACTCCCAGATCCAATATGCCGAAGGGAGAGCCCGAAGAGGATGTTTGAGCTTGGTTCCTGTAAGACAAGGCTGGTCCATCTTTCGTGATGAAGACTGACCATATGATCATAACGACAATAGGCGCTACGACAGTGCCATGAAAGAGAAAGGCTGCACAAGAAGATAGCCAACTTCGTCGAGCAGGAACAGCAGGATACTATCAAAAAGTGAAAGAAAAATGGGCAAACCGAACAGACGAGCAGAAGCAGAGATATTACGAGAAAGCAAAACGTTTCACTACAAGATGACTAGAATTACTGAGATGACGAATGAAACACCCCGGCATTTGATATGTGACGCTCGACAGCCTATCTGTTGAGTAGGGGCTACTTTTCCCCGGTGCTTAGCGAGAATTCAAAAGGAATTACCTTCCAAGTTTTCTAGTTGCAAAATTAACCTGTACAACATGGTAGTTACTGCGTGGAACCCAGGACAACCAAGTGCCCAGACTTGGGAATTCCGCCGAGCGCTTGGCATGCAACAACATTATTGGCGACAGGCTTGGCAAAAGATCTGGATTATTGTTGAGTTCTCCTCTTCCTATATGGCTGACAATTGGTGTTTGCAAATTAGTGATTGACTTTGATCTGGGTATTTTGGGAAAGTGGCATCCTCAAAGACACCCAGTAAGATATCGATCCTCTCAGTCATGAATCATGAAAAACAAAATAAAAGAAATATAGACTGTTGCCGTTGCCGAGCACTACTCTGGAGAAGAAAGTTACCGTACTCGAGCAGACCCAGTTCGGACACAAAGAATCTCCCGATCTTGGCAAACTTCCTCTTACTGGGTCCTGGTCCAGCAGAGATTCCTTTTCACTGGCCCATTATTGCCGTGTGGTCCTGGGCAAACACCCGATTCCAGGCCCGAACGCGAACGCCAAGTCTTGTATCTTGTCTTATCCAATAATAGCCTCACGCAGGGCGATGGGTGACGGTCATACCCTCGAAGAGAAGGATCCACACTGACACTCACCAAGATATTAAAAGGACTGGGTTGGGCGTGCAATCCAAATTAATTTTAGGTACCTCGCACAAACTCGAAGCTTTTCACCAGTGCCTGTACTAAGAACGACTGATAGACAGACCGCTTCGATATCGTCTCATTATCTTCGCAGCCACAGCTTACAACTCAGTTCGCACAATCTCCAATGCCGAAGAGAAAGGAACCCACACCCGACCAGGGATCAGGTGGCAGTCCGTTGACACAGCCAGCTCACTCAGTCCCTTACGAAGTCGTAATCAAGGTGCTTAGCACTGAGATTGATGGAGGTCTTGCTCCCGACGAAGCCAGTCGTCGCCTAGAGCAGTATGGTCCAAATAAACTCGATGAAGGCGAAGGGGTGTCGGTTGTCAAGATTCTCGTGCGCCAGGTGGCCAACGCAATGATGCTAGTAAGAGGTCCATTGCTTGTAACTTCGGTATCTTGGAACTCGTCGAAAACTTTCGACATCTGATCCAATTCATGCAGGTGCTGATTCTGGCCATGGCGGTCAGTTTCGGAATTAAGTCGTGGATTGAGGGTGGAGTAATCTGCGCTGTCATCGTCTTGAATATCGTGGTTGGGTTCTTCCAGGAATACGCTGCGGAGAAGACTATGGAGTCGTTACATTCACTTTCGTCGCCGACAGGGACTGTCTCGAGAGGTGGACACACGTTCTCGGTTCCATCGTCGGAGATCGTCCCGGGTGACATGGTCGAACTCAGGACTGGGGATACTGTTCCAGCGGATATTCGGTTAGTCCATTCCTACCATAGCTTTTGAAAGGCTGCTGAAATGACTCTAATTTGTTCAACCGTAATAGCCTGGTTGAAGCAGTCAATTTCGAGACCGATGAAGCACTTCTTACCGGCGAGTCTCTTCCAGTACAGAAAGAATGTGACACGACATTCAAAGAGGATATTGGGCCCGGAGACCGTCTGAATATTGCTTATAGCTCGAGCACAGTCACTCGTGGTCGTGGTCGTGGTGTCGTCTTCAGTACAGGCATGTTCACAGAGATTGGCTCCATTGCTCTCGCGCTGCGGGCTAGTGGTAGCAAGCGCCGCCCTGTCAAACGTGATCAAAACGGCGAGACCAAGAAACGGTGGTATGTCCAGGCTTGGACACTCACGGGGACCGATGCCGTGGGTCGATTCCTCGGTGTTAATGTCGGAACTCCTTTACAAAGGAAGCTGTCAAAACTCGCCTGCTTACTTTTTGGAGTTGCTGTTCTTTTTGCCATTGCATGTATGGCTGCAAATCTGTTCAGCAGCAATACCGAAGTTATCATGTATGCCGTTGCCACCGGTATTAGTATGATACCGGCGTGTCTTGTGGTCGTGCTTACCATCACTATGGCTGTGGGTACCAAGCATATGGTCCAGCGGAACGTAATTGTTCGCAAGCTAGACTCGTTGGAAGCACTCGGTGCCGTTACCGATATATGCTCCGATAAAACTGGCACGTTGACTCAGGGCAAAATGGTGGTGAAAAAAGCATGGATTCCGTCTTGCGGGACATACTCTGTTGGTACATCCAACGAGCCATTCAATCCTACCATTGGGGATATCACCTTTACTCCTCTATCCCCTTCAGACTTTGATGATGAAAAGGAAGGCGCCGCTGTGGAGAATGCAGAGGACCTGGTATCAGGGAACCGCCAGCTTGAGGACTTTCTGAATGTCGCAGCTATGGCTAACCTTGCACATATATACAAATCTGAAGAGGGCGAATGGAGCGCACGTGGTGAACCGACAGAAATTGCTATTCAAGTATTTGCATCGAGATTCAACTGGAACCGCGACCGCTGGACAAAAGGCCAGAATATACTTTGGCACCAAAAGGCTGAATTTCCATTCGATTCGACTGTGAAGAAGATGTCTGTGATTTTCGACAAAGCTTCCCTAAAAGACGGGTGCACAATGGTATTTACCAAGGGTGCTGTTGAGCGTATTGTTGATTCGTGCACCTCTGTGATTTGGGACCAAGATTCGTCCACACCCCTACCAATAACAGATGACCACCGCAAAAAGATCTATCAGAATATGGACGACTTGGCAAAGTTGGGACTTCGAGTACTGGCTCTAGCTCATCGACCGTACACTGGCCAGACACAATTGCTTGAAGACTCTGACCTGGAACGTGAGAGTGTGGAAAGTAATCTGTGCTTTCTTGGGCTGATTGGGTTGTATGATCCTCCTCGACCCGAGACAGCAGACTCTATCCAGGCCTGCTACCGAGCTGGTATAGTTGTTCATATGGTCACAGGAGATCACCATGGAACTGCCAAAGCAATTGCACAGCAGGTTGGAATCCTTCCTTCCGATTTCAGCTCTGTAGCAGCTGATGTCGAGGATGCCATGGTCATGACTGCTAGTCAGTTTGACAAGCTCACCGATGAGCAGATAGATGCCCTTCCTACTCTTCCCTTGGTGATCGCACGCTGCGCTCCTCAAACCAAGGTACGCATGATCGACGCCCTTCATCGGCGTCGCCGCTTCGTGGCGATGACCGGAGATGGAGTGAATGACTCCCCATCCCTTAAGCATGCCGACGTGGGTATCGCTATGGGACAGACGGGATCGGATGTCGCCAAAGATGCCTCTGATATTATTCTAACAGACGACAACTTCGCTTCGATTCTGAATGCCGTCGAGGAGGGTCGTCGTATCTTCGACAATATTCAGAAATTTGTGCTTCACTTGTTGTCTGAAAACATCGCCCAGGCCTGTACCTTACTGATTGGATTGGCTTTTAAAGACGCTGACAACCAATCTGTGTTTCCTCTTTCACCGGTCGAGATCCTCTGGATTATTATGATTACATCGGGTATGCCAGACATGGGCCTCGGTATGGAGATAGCTGCATCTGACATTATGGACCGGCCTCCTCAAAATAAGCAAGGCATCTTCACATGGGAGGTAGTGGTTGATATTCTTGTGTATGGTATCTGGACAGCAGCCCTTTGTCTGACGGCATTCTCCGTACGAATGTGGGGTTTTGGAGACGGTAACTTGGCCCGTGGCTGCAATCAAGAGTGGTCAGATCATATCACAGATTGCGAACTGGTCTTCCGAGCGCGAGCCACCACATTCGTGTGTTTAACATGGTTCGCGCTGTTCCTAGCCTGGGAAATGGTCGATATGCGCCGATCTTTCTTCCGCATGCAACCAAAATCCAAGAGGTACTTTACCCAATGGATGTACGATGTTTGGAGGAACAAGTTCCTTTTTTGGTCCATCATGGCGGGATGGATTACGATGTTCCCTATCCTCTATATCCCTGTGCTGAACGATGTTGTGTTCAAGCACAAGCCTATAACATGGGAGTGGGGTATTGTGGCAGTCGAAGTGGTTCTGTTCTTCATTGGCGTCGAATTCTGGAAATGGGCCAAGCGGGACTTTTTCCGTCACCGAGCCAGGAGGGCTTCGGGTTTAGCTTCAGCGGGGGACGAGCCTGAGCGGCCCTAACGCACGCTTTCCCTGGTCCAACATTGAGACAATAGGGCCCGGGAAAAACCTCACTTGGAGATAGCGCACGCATTATGGAAACAACTCAACGGAACAATGACAGATCAAGGAATTTGAAGCTCGCATTTAGAAGATGATGGGTCAATGGGCTTGCCAAGTGGGCTGGTCTTTCACCCGTCTTTAAACAGATCGTATAATACAATGAGCTAACAAAGTTATATTCATTTATTCTACGCTGATAAGTTGGAGAAAGGCACAAATTTATGTTAGAAAAACTAGATACCATTAAATGCAACTATCCCAAGGTTGCATTATTCTGACAGCAATGACTATTAGTGGAACTGGTGGTATCTATCGCCTCTAGTTTGCAAGCGCCGTCCTTTATCCTTTGCCTTTCTAATCCATCCCCTCCTCCCTCTCTTATGCTTAGTATCTTCCCATTATAACTGGCCTTTAACAACTGGATGACTGACCAGTACGCCCTTTGAATTTGGCTCCATCTTTGCGAGGGTGACTTGGAAAGAAATAAAACCCGATCGAAGAGGGATGCTCTGCTTTCCAATATATTTTAATGAGGGACTGGGGTAGCACAAGCTCTTCGTCAAGGCCAATTCACCTCACCTCACTTTGGCTCTATGTACCCGACACTACTTTACTTTAAATCGCGACAAGCACAGCTTTTCTTCTCCATTTACGCTCATCATCGGAGAATTTTGAAGGGTGCGCCCTTGAACCTCTCAACAACAAGACCCCACGTTGGCTCTTTCTTCTTGAAACCCCTCCTCATCAGAAAGTAAGACTACCAGAAATGGTGGACCTAGCATATGCACGACCTGTATCAATGAGGTGATTATCTACTCACAATCCATTATAAGCTCAAAACAGCCCCAGGAAACGCAACCACAACCATCATCCTCATTAACGAGCAGAACTAAAAGTTCGATCAAGGCACTGTGCCTCTGACACTTGCATACCTTAGACATTCAGTATCTTGACCGAAAGCCCTCTTTGGCCTCTTTATCAGTCTCTTCTTCACATAGTAACATTAGTGGTGTCTCGCTACCAGATGACTGATATGACGGACTAGTACGCCGTTTTTGATTCAGCTTCCGTTTCGCCGGGGTCACTTAAGCCAAAAAAAAATGACAGAGTACAATTTATTATTCTGCTTTCACATATATTTTAATAAGGGAATCATTTAGCGGGACATTCATTCGTTTATACTATACTGGTTGACTCTGATTATGGAGACGCGTGGGTATACTAAATGGTGCGTAGGTATTGAGTCAGGTCATCTGACTAGACATCTTCAGAGCGTCTCGGGGTGTTGTGACCCACCTTGAGGCAGCACACCCACGCACTCCCCACTTCCCATCCACGCGAATGCCAAGACGTTCGAGATCCCATGGCGATCATGACGTGCCCCTGGCACAACCGCAACTCCGATTGTGCCTGTTGTCATCAGCCTTCATCGAATACAGCACAAGAGGAGATTATCGACCATCCACAGGGCTGTGACTCCACTGATCTTTCAAGTGAGAGCTTCTCGTGTTTTTCCCACGTCCCGAGCGCCTCAACCTTCACCTCTGACAACTCCCAGGACGTGTCTGGGAGCAGCTCTGGGAACAGCCCTGCATCTGTTAGTGTTGGATCTGTATTTGACTTTGACGAATACGAAGAGTCGTGTTTCTCCTCCTCCTCATCTTCAGAGAGCACCCTCGTGGATAGCGATCCCACCATCGCCAATATCTACAGGCTCATCCACGAGCAACTGGCCTCACGAAGCCTAACTCATAAGCAACACGACTCTGCTCCATATTCTCCCTCCTCATCATCTTCAAGCGAGAGTGGAGGCTGCCCCCTTGAACTTGAAAACCAAGACTCCCCGTTAGCTCCATCCTCTCCCTCGTCATCATCGAGTGAGAGTGGAGGGTGCCCGCTCGAATTTCATACCCAAGATCCCCCGTTTGCTCTCTCTTCTCCCTTCCCATCTTCCCCATCCTCTTCATCCTCTTAATCCTCCCCACCACTCTCTTCTCTAAGCTGCCCCCTCTTCCCCGACCTTCCTGATGTCGAGTCACGAGATGACTGACCAGTACGCGGTCCTCATTCGGCTTCCGTTTCCGCGAGGTGACTTTCAAGACCCTCCCTCGGTAAGTGGCTGATAAAATCCATCTTCAAGGTGTTTCCCCGATCTAACTGTTGACTAGGTGGACTGGGATGCCAAGAAGGAGAGAGCGCTTTGGGATTTAATTTCCCGACCATCAAAAGATGGTCTCGATTGTGAGTCCGCTGCATATGTTATTTACTGAAACCGCCGTCTAACTTCCGACAGGGAATGAACTGTAACTGCCATCCGGAGATTTTCACGCTCAAAGGCATTTGGCTAACATGTACCATCAGGTCCGAGCGCTTTGGAGTCACCCTTCAATTTTTGCAGCAGCAGGTTGCATGGCTCTATGAAAGACAACTTACCCAGGCGCGCGCCCAAATGCGCAAAGCGCCCCAGCAACTTCAAATACATTCAAATTCGCCCTCCCCAGCCCCAGGATCTGTGGCTGGAAGTACCGCACTTGGTGGTCAGCCACAAAGACCACCTGTAGCTGGTATGTATTCAAATGAAATTTCTGTGCCATAACACACTGACAAGTCTTCAGGCTCTCGCGGCATGTTCCGCCAAGTTTCGCAGCAGCGAGAGGCTCTTCAGCCTGCTCCCACCGACCGAAGACTGAGCTCTACATCAACCACAACTATCAACCGAGTCCGCGATACATCCCGAACTGACACACCGATCACTGATGGTCGAGAACAGGGAGTGGGGAGCAGTACTCGTCGACCTTCCGTTCCCCGTCGCGAGCAACCTCAAAGCACTTCATTCATGCGGTCACCGCCTCTCAAAGAAGAGGATTTGAGCTCAAGCTCCGAAGAATCGGACTCCGAGGAAGAGACTTCACCCCGTCGCTTCCCGCGCTGGCGCAATTTCGGAAAATACTCCGAGCATCAGTCCCGCGCTGGTATCCGCGACGATGAGGACGACGATGACGATGCGCCCGCTTTCCTCCCCATGCCCCGACACGAGCAACTACCACGAGAACACCCCAGCGAAAGAGTAAGCCAAGAATTAAGTGGCACTCTGCGACTAGATGCCGATCAAGCATCAGCCGTCTGGCCTCCAACCCAACGCAGGCCTGTGTTCTTACCAACAGATGCAGAGTCAAGCGCCAGCTCAACCGGAATGAGCTCTGCAAGCTCCACTGGCCCAAATCATCCAGCGAGGGGCGATGATCGCCGAGCTCCTCTGCGGAGTCCCCGTAGCGGCGGCCGGGCTACAGAACAGTCGCGCGCAAGCCCACGCAGCAAGGGTGGGGTGAATGGCAGTGATGGCACACCCAGCATGGGCAGCAGCTTTAGTGACTTGGATGGTAAGTCCGGTACCACCTTGATGAGCTTTCTATGTTTTGCGGCTTCTTACTTACGCGCGGAATTAGATACCAGTGTGACCCAATCAGCACTCGAAGAAGCTCTCATGAGCAACATGCAACAAGGCGGTATGGCGAGCCGCATGAGTACGATCAGCCAAGCCCTTCGAAGCCGATATCTCCAGTAAATGCTGGTGTGATTGCGCGCTGGTGTGCAGTTTATTATGACTTGATGAATTCACGATGACGATCTATTGAGTGGCGATGGAAGATCTTGGGGTTACACATCAATCTAGCTGTCGATTTGATCGAACCAATCTCAACTCCAGACCCCTTTGTCAGTCCGTGGCTTATGCATACATGCATAGAATGAATGTACGGGGTAGATCACGACCCACTCTCGCATCTGCAGGATACCAGCTACCGAGTAGATCTAGTTCTAGCAATTTATTCCTCCTAATTTCGGAGTAAACCATAGCAATTCAGAACCATGCGTTCTCCTTTTCCTTATTTACTACACCGTAAATGCTAGTACTCATGTAATTAATACATCCTTCTGTCCGAGTGAGTGCTGGAATCTGCTCAGTATAAACCAGTCTACACGTTACCCACCCACCTTCAGGAACCAATCACAACGCTTCACCACGCTTCACTCCGACAGTCACCCTCAAACAGTCGAGCAACAGGCTCCTTTTTCTTCCCAACTTACCTAGGGTTCCCTTTTTCCATTCTGACACCGAGATCCGCATCGGCCCAGCGGCAGCGCTAAAACCCAATCAGGCAGGCCGATCTCCGCAGGTTCCAAAGAACAAACTGTACAACCGGCTACAGCGGGGCAAAAAGTCACCGAGCTACGGAGCTTCCGATCGACCCCTGTCAATGCTTTGCTATATAGACAAGACCAGTCAGTCTTTCATCGCAAGCCTGCTACAGCTTCAGCTGCATCCCTTTATCCCATCCCACCCGTTGGGAAGCTTGCCAATCGCCCCACGCTGATTGACCCCGGTCGCATCAGCACCACCCACTGGCAGCATCCATTGCAACCCCTCCATGATCAACCGCGGCCTCGGCATCTGATTTGCGTATCCACCCGCCGATTCAAAGCGGCCGGATCCTTGAATCATCCCCAACGAGCCAAAACTTACGTCGCAACCTCCTCAACCCTTCCGCCCTTTCTCAATTCTCTCATCCTTCCATCCTCTTCACCGTCGGCATCCCTTTCCCAATCTCGTCCACCATGTCCCCCTCCCTCGGCGACATGGAACCCGCAGAGGCCGAATCCGTCTACTTCAACGAATACCCACCACCAAAGGCTCTCCCCAAACACGAAGCCCTAGCCCGCGCTTTCATCGACCTCCACGTGGAAGCCAACCGCCGTGTCGTCCTCGTAACATCGGGCGGAACAACCGTCCCCCTCGAAGCGCAAACAGTCCGCTTCATCGACAATTTCTCCGCGGGAACCCGCGGCGCGACCTCGGCAGAGTACTTCCTGGAACAAGGGTACGCGGTAATCTTCCTACACCGGCAGTACAGTCTGCTGCCGTATTCGCGACACTACAGCCACTCGACGAACTGTTTCTTGGACTTTATGGACGAGGCGCCACCTGTTCCGGGCGCGGCGAATCAGGATCATGGGTCTATTGTTGTGCGCGATGAGTATCAGACTGAGATGCGTGATGTGTTGAGGAAGTATCGCTACGCGAAGCAGAATAATCGACTCCTTTTGTTGCCGTTTACGACGGTTGCGGAGTATATGTTTGAGTTGCGGTCGTTGGCGAAGTTGATGCGGCCGCTTGGTCCGAATGCGTTGTTTTATCTTGCTGCTGCCGTGAGCGACTTTTTTATCCCGAGGAGTCGGATGGCTGAGCATAAGATTCAGTCTTCAGAGTTGCCGCCTCAATACCAGGGTGGTGGCGGTGACAGTGGTGCGGATAGTGCTGTTGAAGGGGACGATGAGATATACACCGGAGAGAACGAGGCGACGCCGGCCAGTCAGAAGAAGCTGGTTATTAACCTTGATCCTGTGCCAAAGTTCTTGCATCGACTAGTCGATGGATGGGCTCCGGATGGGAGTATGGTTGTTTCCTTCAAGCTGGAGACTGATCCTACGTTACTGGTTTATAAGGCGCGCACTGCCTTGCAGCGATACTCACACCACCTCGTTATCGGTAACCTTCTCTCAACGCGCAAGTGGGAAGTTGTCTTCATCACTCCAGATCCCCCACACGAGCGATGGATCCGAGTCCCCAAAGCCCGCCGCAGTAAGAGTATCTCCGGCGTCGAAGATCAAGTCGGCCTGGCAGAGATAATGAAGGGCGGCAAAGGCGCAACTGGTTCCGAGTCACAGCAAGCGCCGAATCCACCAGAGATTGGTGGCGAAGGTCTTGAAATCGAAAGTATTATTATTCCTGAGTTAATCAAGTTGCATGACAACATGATCGAGAAGAAGAATGCGCCGTCGCAGTAATGGCGGCGGGCATTTATTGGAGGGAGTGGTGGATGGATGGATGGATGGGTATTCTGTCATAGAGCCATATTGGAAAAAGCATATCAGCCTCATAGTCAGCTGTACAATCATTAATGGAGTTAATCATGTTTTCAATCTTCACCCTTGGCTAGGATGAATATACTCAATAGCATTGCCAGCTCAGCCATCTATGCAAAAACAAGGCATAGCTATCGATCAATATTCAACAGAGGCGCTGCAACCTAGAAGAACACGAAGTAGTATACAGACACAGCCACAGTGGTCATGGTGCCTAAGGAAAAAGCAATAATCGAAGAACCGGTCAAGAGTCGCCCCCAATTAAGGCGGAGTCAGGCTGGCGCTAAGTGATGCTGAGGCGCAGTCTAGGTGCCCAATGAAGCAACAACTTGAGCCGCTACTAATGCATCACTGGGCGAGTTCTGACTCCGCATTCAAGTTTCCAGTTGTCTCCCTCTTCGATTCTTTTCAACTCACCGTTTCGCACATATCAAATTATTCACGGCCGTTATGGCCGAAGTAATCGGTGTCGTTTCCGGAGCGTTAACTTTCGCTACTGTCGTTGCTCAGGCCACGAAGTCGATTTTCCAGATCAGAGACTGCTGGAGCCAAATACGAGATGCACCTGAGGACCTACAGCGACTGGTTCGGGAAGTTGAGATCTTTGGCCTCATCCTGACGGATATTGAGGAGGATTTGTCGAAAGACGAGGTCGCTGGTGTTTTAAAGAATAGCAATCATGCCTTACAAAGTCTGGAACTTTGCAAAGAAGCTGCTGTTGATTTAGAGACTGTTTCTGATAGTCTGATCAAGGAGATTCGGCCGATAAGTGGGCTCACAAGGACATATGCCTCATTGAAGGTGGTGATCAAGAAGGGCAGTATCGAGAAATATCGGACCAGGCTGGGGAACGCAAGCCGGTTACTTTCTCTTTCTCAACAATGCTATACAAGGTCTGCGAGTACAGTCGATACTTCTGAATTAGGGCTGACACTACTAGGGCATTGATTCAAGTGCAGCCTGAATTGATTGCGACGAGGATCTTGAGTGGAAAACATGACGCTGACTTGCAGATGTTTCAAAATGAGAATGGTAAGCATTCACACTTTTTAATCAATTCAGAATATGCCAAGAGGGCTAATTTTCTGATCAGAAGCTGGATGTGATACGGACATTCACACGCAATCCTCACATAGGAAAATTACTCGACGTCCACATAAGAACAATTATTTATGGAGGCTTGCGCTGCCATCCTGGTTGACTTCAAAGTGCTTAGAAGTCACAGGTGCAAGGACTCCCAATAGCTGGCGATGGAACTTTCAAGCCTACAACATAATTTTTCATTCTTCCATTGTTCACCAGTGTGTGAGGTCAAATGACGTTCAAGGCCTTCAGCGCCTCTTCTCGTCCGGGGAAGCTTCACCTTTTGACCGCGGTCCAGGTGAGTATGGGCAGACATTGCTTGACGTGAGTTAAATATCTAAATTTCCTTTCAATCGAAAGTTTTTAACTAACAAATGGACAAAAGATTGCTTTATATCTGTCTCACCTCGAGGTGGTCGCACTCCTTCTCGAACAAGGCGCAGAACTGAACCTTTTCGACTATCAAAAGGGCGAATCAAGACTACTATCCTTAGTTTTCTTTTTTGTAAGTACCATTAAAAGGATTCCGCTCCTTCCTGTTTTATCTTTCGTTCTCAAATACCAGAATGAAACATTTGAAGACGAGGGATACATGATATTGAAGTCTCTATATCATTTCCGTGGCTCTGCGAAGGAATTTCTTTTCGTGCTCGAAAGGTTCTTACCATCATTCTACGAACTTCCTCAAGTGAAGCGAAACGAACTTGCCCTATACTACTTGAACCATTCGAACTCTGAGAATTGGTTGCTCCAGCGTAGCCGGCACGACTTGATTCCTCAAGTGAAGCGAAACAAACTTGTCCTACACTACTTGAACCACCCGGGACGTGGTGGTTGGTTGCTCAATAGTACCCGGCGCAACTTGTTTCCATTTTCTAAGTACTACGTGATTTCCCGGGGCGCCTCGTGGAACGTGACATGTGCATACTTGGAGCTTCCTGAGCTATTGCGCATCATTTTTCGTGGGATTGTATTCACCACATGCCCCCCGGAATTTGAACTGTACTCTGACTTCCTAGCAAGTTATGGAATTCTTAATCTGCCGAATCGGATTTCTAGAAAGCTTGGAGAATTACAAGTCTATCGAGATGGAGTTGAGGACGAGACACATTATAAGCCCATGTTCCGGCTTTTTCATGATTTCCTGGTCGGTGGCCTTGATGTCAATCAAGTTGATGATGATGGATCTACGTTGCTTACTGCCTTTTGCGATGGAATTTTCTTTTGGGGTTATACAACCAAGGCTATTGCCAGACGCAATTCGAGCCTGAGATATTGGTTGCAAGACCTTCAAGATAGCGGAGTGGACTTGGAGAACTTTGGAAAAAAACAGCAGATATTGTTCAAGGCGTTAGGCGGACCAATCAAATTGGGCTGTCCAGCTAACTCTGCTGCCACTCACTCGTCTTATCAAAAGGTTAGTGCTTACGTGCGGGTGATAGGATTCTCACATGGTCCTTCCCCAGAGAACTGGGCTTTATGGGTCACTGAAAATTCTGATTCTTTTGCTGGGGAATTTTGGCATATGATTGAGCGGCGGATAGAGATGCCAGGAGGGTGGTCCTCTGATGTACACTTGTTTTTGTGATTCACCGCAGCCTTGTACCCTGAAAATGGATTGGGGTCCAAAAATCCCAAAAGCGAAACTGGTCCTAAAATACGGTCTCACAGCTGAAATCTGTGCCCATAAAATTTCCAGGGACATAATTCCATCGCAAAATCTATACGTGGATCATATAATCGGATAAAGCTGCCGAAAGCCCTGGGGATGAACCCTGAAGATTGTTGGGTTTAGCCTCAGCCCTGTTCTCCACAGCTCGCACTTGTTCGCCCAAATGACCAAAGTGGAGACACTTTCTCACAATCCCCATGAATAGAGATCTGCAGGGTCCAAGCTTCCTGTTTGTCGGACTCATTGGCTCGTGCTATCTGCCAGACTAGTATGCTCACATTCGATGTCCGAAAATGAACATGCGGCTGTTTTGCGGTGGATCGAACGTTAAATACTGAATCCCGGTCATAGTTCTTCAGCTTCATTTATTGGATAGGCGACCTCCGAGGATTGAAATCTGTCTTTATCGTGGCAAGGTGAAGAAATTAGGCCTAACTGACCACTATGATGTAGTTCTTGTATTTCCTTGAAAAGGTATCGCTTGGATCGTTGCCGGGTGGTGACTCGACTATAAAAGCAGCTTGAACCTCATCAAATCTATTTCCTTGTTCAAAACAATTCACTCGTCACAACATCCTTCAATAATGTACAGCCTCCAAAACATTGCTCTCCCAGCCCTTGTGGCTCTTTCTGCGCTTGCTTCTGCAGAGACCATTGTCCGTATTCCAAGGCTCCCCCTCTATGACATTTTACTTACCAACTGAAAGACTGGCGGCCTAAGTGGTAGCCCATGTCCTAGTGACTGGACTAATATTCAGTACAAAGACACCCAGAGATGCTGCTATGGTAGCCTGACCCTCGAATCCAACGATCTCTATTGCTGTGTGCACAGCTCTTCGATTTCCAACAACTACCTCGACGATACCTCATCCGATTGCTTCCCATTCTGTACCGGCACTACTCGTGAGCTTCCTACAATGACGAAGTTCGCCGCATCCTGTCAAACCAAGATTGCTTTCACCACCAAGGACTACTCGAGTCTTGTTTCGGCGGCGTCTGCTTCAGTGACAGGGACCACTAAGTCGTCTGATAGCGATGCGACAACGATGACTACTACAACCGGAGCTGGGACTGAGACTGGCGCCAAGACTACGGCCACGGACAATAAGTCGGAGACATCTACAAATAAGGCCGGACCTGTTGCGACGGCTGAGGGGTTTGCGCTCGGAGGTGCTGCCATTGCTGCTGCATTCTTTGCGCTATAGGTGCAAGTAGTGCAATCGCCGAATTGGATTTCTTTCTCAGATATTCCCAATTTCAATTTCAATCCGGTTAAATAGTGTGTCTATAAGCCTTGAAATGAGTTCAAGCTGTTAACGGCATACCTAAGTGTATAAATGACTGGTGGCATCCAATATCCATGGGTATATCAACAGCAATTATGGATTCAATGAAATTTGAAATGATAAATCGTTAAATGTAGAATCTGGAAACCTCAGCCAGCGGCAACAGAAATGACTGAAATGCGTGTGACTGAAAGCGCATAGACTATTGATGTTTTTTCAGTGATCATCAGTCCCCTTGGCGTTAAGGGACCACTCGCATATTTTGGAACTCGGGCGTATCTGCAAAGGACCAGAAAATAAGAGTGGGCTACGATGGCGTATCTTAAACCACCCCCATTCACTTTTTCCATCTGATCAGGTTTCCCTTTCTCAAAATAGATCACCTTCGTCTTCTACTCCGTAGACATGGGGGGATAGCGAATTGGCAAGGGTGCCAAGGACATCTCGTATTTCGACCTCGTATACTTCATCCCAAACACAGTCTAAACTCCTTGGCTACTTGGCAAAAGGTGATAGTGGCTGCACTTCAAACCGGTAGGAGGAATCGCCAAATTATTTTATGCATATATTAGTAGAAGATGCCCACCCATATCATATTCCCTATGAGCTTCGAACAAAAGTCCAGGCCACCACCATGCGCTTCCCCCACACTCTGCTCTTGCTCGCAGTAGCTCAGCTCTCAACCGCATGGCTTGTCAAGTACTATGCCACAGAAGAGATTAAACATGGCTGGGGGACGACTGTACAAACCACCGTCTCGCCAGTCGTGACAACCGCTCCGTTGACCGTCGAACCGACCTCCACCTCCACGACGTACTCTACAGATTATATTACCAGGACCGATGGCGGTAACTACCGGATCAATGTCACGATAGAATATCTCATTTTGCCAAATGTCACCAATCTTCCAATTTCGGCTTTCTATGTCTGGGATCCACCAGTTCCAACCCAGAATCCATCCGTGACGACAAATTATTATCTACCCGTCACATTGAGCAACCCTGCATCATGCACCAAGACCGAATTCACATATACGGACTCGGCTAGAATCTTGCTTCCTAAGTTCTTGAAAGCGCAAGCGACTGAATCGACTATAGCCACATTCGTTTCGAACTATGTGTCAACCATAAGCACGAATCTAGGCGGGCAGGAAGTGACCACATCAAGATGCGATGTCTATATGAATGACAAGATCGTTCCCATGGCCTCTATTGATCTCTTTGATTATGAACGGTATCTTACCGAGTGCATAGATCCTCGACGATCAATGTGTAGCTCAGGTGAAAATACTGAAGCTACGGGCACTGGTGGTTGTCTTGGGGTATACCCGCCCACGGGGACAGCTGATAGCGCATCTACCACCACTACTTCGAATGGAGTTGCTGATCCGACTCAAACTGGTGCTGCGACAACATTGAGAAGCTCAATACGCCCATTAAGCATCTTGGCTTGCATTTGGGCTACTTTGACGTGCTGGTAGATACTAGTGCCTAGGTACGCTGGTCATTCAAGTTGTGCTTTTCCTCGAGGATGCCTGCGATGATGATTGAATTGTTTTCTGGCTACATCCATGGATATAAATAGTATGACCTTTATGGAGTGCACAGAAACTGCAGATGAGTTTGGGTACGATTTATTTTAACTTAAAATAACAAGACCCGACCCATCTTCGAATTATCCCTAACTATCCCCAATCCTCCCTTCTCTCCAAAAACTGGCCCAAATTCTTCTACCCCGACATAACAGAACCCTAAAATACGAAGCTTTAGCCCGCACGAGGTTGCGACCCGGCACACTGGCCCCACGGACCAATCATATTGAAATAGCCTGACGAACTAAAGCTTATGCTTATGCTGTAGCCTGATTTCCGAAGCAGGTGGAATTTTCCAAGTCGGACAGGGCTGGAGTGATAGGCACTGAGTGATAGAAACTGTATATAAGAAGTAACCTTGGAATGTCGCGTACTACTAAGTCATTGATTATAAAATATAGATACGGGCCTCTGAGGAATCAATCACTTACTATCACGAAGTCACCACTAGATGCCCTGACAACAGTATTTCATTTGGATTAGGCATCATTCTCTCCAATCCGAAACGAAAGTCTGGCCAAACCTAAGCAAACCTTGGGATCAGAAAGCAAACGGGTCGATGTCGATCTTAATTCAATCTGGCTAGACCCATCGCACCCATGCCATCTCGATGTTTGGTTTTCACCGAGATTTCCCCACTCCTCATCTTACACCTAGGCACCTCTTTGTTCAAACTGTGGAGAGGACCGAAACCAGGTTGAGCCTACTACTAATATACTTCAAACGTGCGATCATCCACCTCTCGACAACAGATCTGTCCTCCATGCTATATATCGCAAAGAGTGAATGCCGTCGCGAAACCTCATCCTGGCCAACATAGCTGGTCTTGGCCTCCCCGCGCATTAGCGGATTTTTGGCTTTCCGTTCGTGTCAAACTGAGTGCACCCTTCTCGAGGCAAACCAGACGTAGGAAGTTTACAGAGGGGCCGTGCTCTCCTTCGAATCTCCTGTGATACAGGAGATGCAGCCTTGTTCGTACCGTGACTGTGCTCAGAGGCCATGTCAGGTGGGTTTTCCTTCTGCATCTAGATCCATTCCATCATGCCAGTCTATGGAGCCCAATCTGTGAATAATATTGTGAGCTGTGAATAACATTCTGTCTGCCTCTACCTAGACTGGCAAATGGCCAGAGACTAGCCATGTACGAGGCCAGCAAGTTTGCTCCTGTCATAGCGCGGCGCAGACTTCTGCGACTTCAACACCGTTGACTGTCACCTATAGTGATGAACCGGCACCCTCTGAGTCTGACTCCTCTCTCTCAATATGCGCAGAATTCTCTACATCTGTTGATGAATGCGTGTCCCCATCACTAGCAGGCAAGGCCGTTGCTCTCCAGCAACCCCAACTGGCACTCAGCTTCGTGATGGCCTCCTTCCCGTGCTACTTCAAATTAATTGAATCCCGCGTTCCGATAACCTGGATCGACTACATCGCCACACAGCCCAGTTCAAACAAATCATCCTTCGACTGGGCCGTGCGATGTATGACAACAACTTATCTCGGCAGCCTCCACAATGACACCCGCTACCTAGACGAGGGACGAATGTATTACTTCCGTTCCCTCCGAAACCTATCAAAGCTACTAAGTGACCCGCACACGGCCGAATCAGACGAGGCCCTATCAACCGTCATAATCCTCGGTGTTTTCGAAATGCACGTCTACACATCTCTCGAGGGATGGAACCATCATGCGCGGGGACTCCGCACACTAATGCAGCTCCGGGGTCCTCGCATGCACGAAGACGGGTTTGGGTACAATCTATATCTGGCATGTCGGAATACCCTAGTGACAGCCGCCCTGGTCTCCGGCGAGGCGTGCTTCTTGGAACAACCAGGATGGCAGCAGCTGAGTAAGGATCTAGCTACCAAAAGTGCTAGGAATCCCAACTCGTCGGTCCTGGAGGACATTGCGGAGCGTGCATTTCGAGAAGTTGTCAAACTTCCGGGATTCGTGAAGCGGATTCGTGGGCTTGGTAGTTTGCCAGCGAAGGCGCAGAGCTGTGAGAGATCGGCGCTGTTCCGTATAGTACTCGCCACGCGTGCGGCTATGAATGGTATCTACACTGAATTCAAAATCGCGGCGTCAAGCACACGGGCGGGCTATAAATCATACGCCGATTTCGTTGGGCCGGTCCCACGTGATTTCTTTGATAAATTTGCTAATCTCACCATTCGGGGGATACAGTCTGGTCTTTTGCTCCTCAACTATCTCGTTATCTTGTTGAATCCATCACAGCAGTCTGCCGCAGAACTAGAAATACGTGATATTATGAGATCGATCCAAGTGAAAGAACTCCCGTTATGCGATGACCATGGTGGGAAATCTTCTCCCTGTCTTCTTCCGGTATTCCATTGCGGATTTCGGGGGAAGAACTGGGCCTGAGGGTAGTATCAAAAGTTCTACCGGAAACATCGCAACCCCCCACACACGACTGGATGGACGAGATTGCTATGTCGATGGGCATGGAAGGGGTATCTATATCTTTGGTTAATGTCAATAAGCCACGAGAGACTGATGGATCAAGTTGACCGGGCGGTTCAAGTTATTATCGCCCTGTTCTGTATATACCTACCTAGGTAGGTATATATATATTCGATATAGAGTTAGCGGTCCCGAGGTCATAGTTATAGTGACTACCACCCCTGGAGTATCCAGCGAATATTCAATTAAAACTTCAATCCAAATAATAAATTAGCTTGAGTCTTCCAATACGAATTTAATGTACTGAGCAACGTAATTATAATATCATATCACTGTGTAGCCGGCAATTCCTGCCCAGATGAAATGACCACATTCCGATGCAATCAGGGGTAATTGCGATGGGTAATTAATTACTATGGGGAAGAAACTCTGGTAACAAAAGTAACTTCATCCCGCATGGTGGCCGGTGATCGCCCGTATTGCTGTGTACTGTGTGGTCAGCACTAGTTATTGAGTGGTAAATTGAGGTAAGCTATAATTAAATATTATTATGATATAGAAAAAAAATAATATAATACAATGTAATATCTATCATCTACTGAACAGTCTGCTGCGCAGACTGCTGGCTGTTTGCAGCCTGCTAAGAATGCGCCACAGCCCCCCCAGGACCGCCGTGCAACGCGGCCTGTCGATCACCTCGTCCCTGGATTGCCGCTGCCTCTCGACCTGCAGGAGATCTGTGAACCTGTGACCTGTCTCTTCTCACGATGACATCCAGGCCCGGCGACTGATTCGTTACTCGAAAATGGTCCCTCGTCGCCGCTTCAGCCGACGCTTTGCCGCCCTCGTCGCTGCGGCCGCCCTCTTCTTCCTTTACCACATCTTCTCCCTCCACTCATCTCTCGCCACATCCTCCTCCTCCTCGTCATCGTCCTCGAGTGCCGGCACCGTCGACCCTGATCATGTCGGCGAACCCGCCCCATTTTGCCCGTCCTTACCAGGAATCGACGATGTCCTGGTCGTCATGAAAACCGGCGTCACCGAGTCGAGAGAAAAGGTGCCGATTCACTTCAAAACGACCCTGCGCTGCATCCCCAACTTCGTCATCTACTCCGACTTCGATGAGGAGATCGAGGGCGTCAAGATCCATGACGTTCTGCGCCATATCGACTCCGACGTGAAGGAGAGCGTGGCCGACTTCAACATCTACAATCGCGTCGTGGAGCACGGGCGCAAGGGTCTGGAACAGGACGATTTCGCAGACGAAGCCAACTCCGCCATCGGAAAACCCAGTAACCCAGGCTGGAAGTTGGATAAATGGAAATTCCTGCCAATGGCCCAGGAGGCTCTCAAGTATAAGCCCGATGCGAAATGGTACGTCTTCATGGAAGCCGACACCTACGTCTCGTGGCCGACACTGCTAGCCTGGCTCGCCAAATTTGACGCCAAAAAGCCCTGGTACTTGGGTACCGAGACGCAGATTGCGGATGTCATTTTCGCACACGGTGGTTCGGGGTTCATGGTGTCTAACCCCGCGCTGCAGGATGCGTCGGATCAATACTCTGCGCGTCGCGCGGAGCTGGATAACTACGTTAACCAGCACTGGGCGGGCGACTGCGTTTTGGGCAAGGTTCTTGCTGATGCGGGTGTCAATTTGCATTTTACTTGGCCGATTCTGCAGAACTCGAATATTGGCGAGCTGGATGAGTTCACGAATGAGTTGTACCGTCTTCCTTGGTGTTATCTGGCTGTTGCCTTCCACCATCTCAGTTCTCGCGAGATCGAGCATCTTTGGAAATTCGAGCAAAGGCGCTGGCACGATGTGAGTATACCCAAACCTCCTTTTTTTAATTCCGCGCTTCATCATACAAATTTGTACTAATTCGTCATCGCTTGAATAGAAGAATAAGCGCCTCCTTCTGCACAGCGATGTCTTCCGTGAATACATCTACCCCGATATCGCATCCCTATCTACAAGATCGAGCTGGGACAACCTCTCCAACGAAGACCAGCCCTTCGCAAAAACATTCGAAGACTGTCGCGAGGTTTGCGAGGTCGAAAAGACTTGCGTGCAATACGCCTGGCGCGGTGGAGAATGCTACACAAGCAGTCGCCCGCGTCTGGGTAACTCGTCACCTTCCGGAGACTCGACATCGGGCTTTATCACCAGCCGTATCCGTGAAATGATGGATAAGAGTGGTGTCTGCCGCAATCCCGAGTTTGGAAACCTGAGTTAAACCCTTACCATTCATCTCGACCTGTTTGTGCCAACTTACCTGCTATAATTTTTATGAAATTCCGCCATGATTATCGTTGTTATGCCCCTGTCGGGCTTGGGTCAGTGAGACTGTACGTGACAGGACAGGACAGCACCAGCACCAGAACCAAGTTTTTCTCACCGTGTATGACCGCTTATTTCTTTTCTTTTCTTTTTCTTCCATTTTTCATTCTGTTGGCTGGTGCCTGTATCCCTACGAACGATGCGATAAAACTCCTATTAGGAAGGGCGTTGGCGGTAAATTCGATGCATCACATGTATTTTGTTTGTTGTTGACCTTGACATTGGCATTGGACTAGACCAAGTTTGAACAACAGACCCGATTTGGGCCTATGATAGAAAAATACTATGTTTATGCTTATGCAATACAACACTTTCAATTTGACAACCCTATGCCAGACACTGAAATGCAGAATCAAATATACCAACGCTCATTCACAATTCGTTGAAATTACAATTTGTTCAAGTTCGAGGCGTAAGCTTAACCATCAACTCTGGCTTCTCCCACAGAATAAAGGCATCCTGGTTCATCCAATCATTGCTCACCGGGTCCAGTTCCATATCGAAGTTGAAAATCATGCGAGCGAGGATAATGCGCATTTCAACATATGCAAGGCTGGAAGGAATGTCAGCAAGCAAGGATCTGAAATAGGGGGGGCGGTATACTAGTACTTACTTCCGTCCAATACAGTTGCGAGGCCCAAAGCTGAAGGGCTGCATAACTGATCTTCTGTCATTCACATAACGAGGATCATCGAGATGGCGCTCCGGAACGAATTGCTCTGCGTCAGTGAAGTTTCTTTCGGAGTGGTATGCCGCAAGGTGAGAGACCGAGACAATGGTCTATAAAAATGTGAAGCGAAGTTAGCAAATGTCAAAACTCAGTGATAACATGCTGGTATCATGTCTTCTCCAATGCAAGGGAAGAAAATACTCACCCCTCCAGGAACCCAATGATCCTCAATCATATCACCCTGAGCATCAACAATGCGCGGCAGACCCGTCGGAACAGGCGGATAAAGCCTCATAGCCTCGGTCAAAACAGCAAGACAATAAACCAACTTATTACAAGAATCAAACCCAATTTCCTCATCACTATTAAAAGCAGACCGAACCTCCTCCTGCAACTTCATCAAAACCCGCGGATTCTTCAACAACAAATACGTAACGCCAGAAAGCAAAGTCGCAGTAGTCTCAGAACCAGCAACAATCAACGTACTCCCATTAGAAACCATCTCATCAACACTAAACCCCTTCTCCGTCCCATGATGTTTGAGAATACTCGCAAAGAAGTCGGGCCGGTCATTTGATTTTTCGAGTCTGCTGGCGACTTTTTCGCGAGTGAGTTGATTATGCCATTCCTTTTGCGCGAAGACGCGCTTTGGCGTGATTAGTTTGATCAGGTATTTCGAGCCCGGAAGTCGGCGTGATATATTCGCGTATGCGCCGAATTTGATACCGGCGAAGATAATTTGTACCCAGTCGTGGTAATCTGAGTTTTTTAGACAGTCGAATGGTTCGCCGAAGGCTAGGTCGCCGATTATATCGAAGGTTGCGAAATTGTACCAGGCTACTAGATTCAGCGGCTTGACGGTATTACCACTACCCTTGTCCTGCTCTGTCGGCGTTGAGTTCTCGCGCAGACGTTGAATGAGAAGATCGACATAACTCTTTATAATGGGTTCCTGGCTGCGCAGAGAACTGTCGGAGAAAGCGTGGGAAAGGAGACGGCGGAAGCGCGAGTGGTCTTGATCATCGGATTGGATGATGCTGGCACTGTTTGCGACGGTGGGTGGGTAGAATCTGTAGTCTTTTTGCTTTTGACCGTGGCCGGTGCGTGTGCCGTACATGACTTTCCATGTATCGCTGTTGATGAAGGAGAGTTCATCGGGTGCGATGCGGACGACGTCGCCGTATTGGTCGTGGAGGGCTTTCAATCTTTGCGTGTATCGGCCGCTTATTGTGTTGCGCATGTAGGGGATTCGTGTTGCGGCCATGGATTTCGGGCCAGGGTAGTTTGCCAGTGGGTGGAAGTAGACATTGTAGATTACGAGGAAGAAGTAGTAGGTTGGGATCTGTTGAGTGGTAGACGCATTTTAGTTACTGAAGCTCAGGTTGATATTTTTGAAAAGATTGAAAGGTTGGATCATCATACGATCAACTTCATGTCAACCTCCAAGACTTGAACTTACCAGAGCGAGACTGATTCCAAACAAAACCCATATCGAAGGTAGTTTACCACCCAAGAAACCATCCCCGTGGAAAACAGAAAATCTAGGAATAACAGCCATGCTTCTGAACGGATCCTTGGAAAAGTCTCCAAAGCTCACTGCACTCTGTACGAGTCTTCAAAAAAGCCCCTCAGTAGCAGCTTCATCGATATAAATACCACAACGTCCAAGCTCTAGACCGTCCTACCCCTCTATTCCATCCCCACTGGCATCAGACGACACTTCTCCTCGGGCTCGCACTAACAACCTAGGAAAGCACAAAACCACTGCATAACGACCAACAAGATGGTTAATGCCCTCAGACCTCCCCACATTCTGCACGGCATAAATCAACGCAGCTAGCCTAGCTTGAATCCTTGTACATACTACTAACTACTACTAGACTACTTGTAATCCCGCCACCAGCCACTAGCACACGGGCTAAAAGCAATCCCATCTACCTTGCAGCAAGT